AAAATTCATTTAATTTGTGTTTTTTGATGGTGAATTGTATGAGCGTGGTCACGATAGCCTTGACTTGTGTATATGTACGAATGTACTTATTAAGTTTGAGATACATCTTCATAAATTGATCCTTAAAATACTTGTATCATTACAGATACTTTTTGTTTATAGTGATTTGTTCAAATTGATACGGATTGTTGCTTTCTTAGTTGGCTTAATTATGCATTTATTGTACTTGAACTGGGTTGGTCAACAAATAATTAATAGCAGCGAACAGGTTTTTATATCTGCGTTAGTAATGATATATATTTTGGATAAGTTTATAGAGAGTGTTTTTTAGCAGATATTATGAATTTGTATTTTACAAAAATAAATTATACTGACTTTATTATAAAACAGATATTTTAGTGACTGGTATTTGATACCAAACAGTACCAAAAAATTCATCAACATAATTATGATTCGTTCTTTAGTACCTTGTACACTAACGTCTGGCAAACTAGCAAATCTTTCCATGGAAAATTTCGGAATTGTAATACATATATATGACATTAGTTACATATATAACGATAAATGGATTTTATGTTGGAAATAATCATTATGTAACTTTCATATTTTTCAGTTACTGAAATCTGCGATGTCGTACTTTACTGTGATCTTATCCTTTTATGAATAAAAAAGTTAATTAAACGATCAAATCATACGTTTCACAATGAAACACAGTAGTATTTAATTGGGTATTTTCTGTAATGAACTTCTTTCAACTGTAAGTATAAATCGGTATAAATGAAAACAAATTTTCAGATACGAAGTAGATTTTTAATTCAATAAAAAATATACATTTATTATGTTATGTTGTTTCATCGTATGAGGCAATTCTGTTTGATGTTTGAGTCAGGGAAAAGAACTTCCGATGAGGAGGATAAAACGAAGCCACGCTTAACATGTTACTAACAATCAGTGTAAAGATAACAATAAATATAAATGTTTATTAGAATATTTTTAACCATTACATTATTACATAAAAGCTTTAACAATTCCGCGAATCATGAGTATATCTCGACGAAGGGAAATTCAATATCTGTATCTTTTAGATTTTCTTGTATTCAGTTATTAGCTAGCTCGTTCATTTTTGGAGAAAACATACTATGCCACGCTTGACTTTTTCCTTGTCGTATAAATGTGTCCTTCTTGAATATCACTTCCGCCTTATCACGTGTAAAGTTGACCATCTCATTGTTTTGCAGATTATGAAATGTTAAATGGTTAACTCATTTCTCATACTGTTCTTCCATGTATGATTTTCCTAAGAGATTGGCGACTTGTTTCGTCGTAGCTAGTAAGTCCTGTAGACATTTCAATGTTTATTCATGCAAATCAGTCGAATAAAGTATAATTATATTCAGCAATGAATGAAATATTCATTTTGCACAGTCACGTGAATCATTTCTTCATAAAATAAAAATAAAAAGTTTGGCTCGTGTCGATGTAGCCTATTTAGTTCCTCCCTGTGTCATGTATGTCATCGCTCCTTTATGTGTTTGAATCAACGACTGAACGAAACTTATTAAAACAGAAAATCATGAGAATGAATGTTGCAACAGCAGAATATCTTGTATAAATAAGAGAAAAATAATACCTTAATCATTTTGTAAGTAGTTCCAAAACCATTCAAAATCACCACAATAATCATAAGCTTTAACACTTTGATGAAAATGATAATAAGATACTGGCACATTTTTCGGATTACGGACTACATAAACTACCGGCAACAGAAACACAATACACTTGGGCTCCAAACTACATACACAGCGAATTTTACTTTTCAATGAGAAATCCACATATTTTACATATGGATTTCAAAATATTTGGAATCAAACTTAGTAAAAAAATGAGTTTTTATAAATCTTGAGCTTGTCATTAGTGTTTGCCGACTCATCTTTATTCCTACAGAATACGAATGTCTTCCATTTGTCGATGATATTGCTCTCGAAGCAACTGCTAAAGATACAAAGACTGCCATCGGATTATTAGAACATAATCTAAAAAGTGTTAATACTTTCCTTAAAAGAATCAATCTTTCCTTATCACTTGAAAAAACTAATACATACACACCAATCATATATACGCTATATCCTCTGGAGTGCATCCTGTCACGTAGCCTTATGGTCCATTATAAGCCTAAGGTGATGATGTAACGAGAGCTGTTCTCGTTCCCAAGACGTTGGGGTTGGGACATCGACCTTTTATGCGGACAGCATCTCTCTCTCTCTCTCTCTCTCTCTGCAAAGGCGACGAGTTGGTAAGTTAGCGTATTTGAATGGCCATTCAAATACCGCGATATTCTCCTTAAATGTACCCGGTATTGCAGCTTGTAATAATCTCAACCTCCTTGTACATTTAACCGTTGTATATTTGAAACTTAATTGTAACGTCAATGGCTTTTCCCCCAATTACGGGTGGGATTTTGTATTAAATATTAATTCCTTTGCAATAAAAACACCATTTCTTTAAATAACTGACAGATCTCCTTATTTATTTGAAACTCGCATGATACTCCTATCCTTCATCTACAGGTAAAACCTTTTATTTACTATTTTCAGCGGAGGCTAGAGCTAAAATTGCAATACCTTCAGTTCTCTAAATACAATCTATTAATGTTCGTTATGAATTTCTTTTAATTCGTGAAATAGTAATTTTTTACTTTATTTGTACTACTTCCAGAAAATTTCAATCATTGTTTCATGATCGTTCAATTTATCAAAGTCGTTAGTCAACTGTTTATTTGTCTTCGAGAATATTTACATTATAACAATTGGCAACATTAGCAGCATTGTTTTTTTATCTTTGTTTTGTCTTGCAAATATTCGTAACATGCAAAGAATCAATACATAGTATGTATGAAAAGCACTAGGTGTCGGCAACATCGTAGCATTCAAACCATTAGACTTGCACACCTGAATGTTTCAACAATCTTTCGCACAGAGCGGGTTGTTGATGTTGCCTTTGTTTAAAATTCAAACGCGTCTTAAACGTGAGATGCTATAGTGACAATCATTGTGGATACGGTCGCCATCAAGCAAAGTTATAATGTACTTTCTTGTTTCTTATTTGATTCAGAAAGTCGTTAAAGACTAAACAAGTAACATAAATACCTGCCCTTACTTGTACAAATTTACGAGCTACTAATGAACCCTTGACCAAGGGAGGGTAGGTGTTCAACATGTTGTGCTTTATTTTTCTGTCGGAACCAGTGTTCATAATGTTGTTCACTGTTTATGGATCTCTGAATGAAGATCAGGAAACACAAAAGTATCCGAATAAGGTCTGTTGATATTATTAAAGTAGCAGACAAACAAGAGCTTTATTATTTATAGGAGTGGAAGAACGAGCGGTATTACCTCATATGACAGTAGCAGCTGTAGCAGTATAATAAGAAAAATGCTACCAACTACATTGACGGAGTTCTTGCTCAAAGAATGACAAGAATTATGTAATACTTATCTTTTTCCGATATCTGTCTCAAAATTTGTTTATAAAATTAATGTAATAGTTAAATAACTATTGCGTGATAAAGATAATAAATCTACAATTAAACAAATAAATAAATGAGTAGTATGTAAATTTACGTATAAGCCAAATGAATTTAAAAGATATTATCATTGCTCATTGTGAGCTCTAACACCCTTTAAAATATTTTATGAAAGCAGGAAATTCGTGTAACAAAAATAGACTAATATGTATTTTGAAAAATAAACAGAAAAACACGTAAAAAGCGACTATTTAAATAATTTCTAAACATGTAATAAATATTTAACTATAACTTTTCCAAAATTATGCCGCATTGCTTGGCTAATTAAACTATACACACAAAGTTTCAGTGAAATGACTCCAAAATGATAAAAATTCTAGGTGATAACATACACACATACGGAAAAATACGTGTTTTTAAGTATGAAATACATTTTTAACGATAACTATGACATTTACGCAATGAAAATACCATATAGACTTCATACACGTACGAACTTTCAATAAGATATCTTCAAAATCACAAAAATGTCAGGTATCGATTAATACCACAAAAAAACAGCATTAAAAAAAATTAAATCATAGACTTCTAACTTAAATGAAATAATATATCATATTAATAAGTGGAGTCTAATATAACCACACAAAATAAAATTGAACAAAAAAATCATAGAAACAAAAAAATTACAGCGAAATAGAGAATAATATTCCGAATCGCGAAAACAGTGCTTCCACTTCAAGGAAGCAAAACGATCGAGCCTTAATCTATCTCATCAGAGCGAGTGCTACTTCGACAATCTCGACGACTGTATGAACGTCGTAGCAGAACTTGAAAAAAACAGAAACTCGAATTACGTTACAAAAAAGAGTTCTTCAATAAAGAAGGAATATTCTTAAATTAAGTATGCAGAAAATTCAACTTCACGATGTTTTTTAGAGAAGCAGCTAAACAAGTTATACACGTGAAATTGAAAATAGGTCTCATTTGTTATATCCAGAAGTGCTCGATGTGAAAATATTGATCTTTGTAATTGCAAATAATCGCGAGAAAAGCGAAAAACACAAAAGTTTTTAAAATTGCTGCTTTCGTACTAGTTTATTGTAGTATACCGTAAACAATATAGTAAAACAGTAAGAATTATTATCAAGAAAATATAAGCATTCGATTGTTATGAAAATAAAAAGTTGCTGTGGCTAAATTAAGCAAATGATGTTACTGTGATAATCCTGAAGACGAGATAACATAATATAAATGCTATTATTGTAGTCCATAGAAATAATTGTATTACTGGATCTCCTTGAATCGATTGGTTTTTATATCTATGTCTACGTCGTATTTTGATATAATTGCTGTAACCATCATCCACCTTTCCACGTAAAATGATTATAGAATAATTACATCAATTTTCAGACTCGCTCTAGGTCTTTAAACGTCAAAGAATAAATTTTTTTAATCGTGAAATGACTATCTTGCTTGCGTGATCGACATTTTTTTTCGAAGCCCAGAGCTTATGTTCAAAATATCTCAGTAACATGGACATTTTCGATGGTTATTATTATAAAAGTTGTAAAAGGTTTATGTCATTATGTGGATTGTGGCCTGAACAAAATAACAAAAGTCGATATTTAAGGTTGATTGTTTTCGTAATCTTTAATGCTTCATTGGCGGTGCCACAGGTAATTTTCTTCAAGAGAAATCATAAAATACGTATGTTTTATTTTAAATGTACGTTGATTGAAAAAAAATGTTGAAGTTTGAATTTAAAAAAATTCTAATAATATTACTTTATACTCAATACAGCTCATTCTTTTAATTCAACAGTTCGGAAAAGATATGGCAATAACTTTTGAAAATTCAGTTTCAGTTATGTTTGCTTTAGGTGTATTTGCGAAATATCTAGTTGCTTTTGTAAATAAAAAGCGGGTAAGCTGTGAACATTTTTATTTAATTTTATATTATTAATAGATAAGTACTTTTTCAAATAAAGTTTATAATATTATTCTAATGGAAAGACAAATAAAACATTTAATCATGATAGTATTTAGGTAATTCTTGGCTATTTTGCTGGGCCTCGAACACTTAGGTTACGGATTTTTATAATTTGGCATAATTGTTTATCCATAGAAGTGAGTTTTTTCTGAGATTTTCATGACAATATCTTAATTATATCGAAATTTATTAAAAATTAAAGAAAAATAATAAAAAAATTCAAAATGTTATATTTTACAAACTACTACAAATATCCAAATCGAATATTTTTTAAAACTAGAGACATAGACGCACTTTGTGCGTTACCTACCCTAAGTAAACTTAAGGTCATTCGTTTATTACATAATATATAATAGAACGGTAGAAATCATTTATTAGTAAATTATTTGTTTTTAAAATAAATTAATTATCACTATTGAGTTTATAGTCATACTACTGTGGTTTATATATAGTACTACTTGTTTTATTTTGTGGAATTGGTATATAAAACGGGCTTCGATTCAAATATATATCTGTAAATTATTTGTTCCTTTTTTATGCGAGAGGTTCATTATTTATTTTTTTTTATATAATAGTTTATAAAACTATAATAGTTTATAAAAGTATATAAAAACCCGAAGATTTATATACCATTTGTTTCTTAAGTTCTTACAAGTAAAAAGAGCATTAATTGCTCGAACAATAATTAGTCGCACTCGAGGTACTATCATTAATTGATAATAATTGGTTCTACGATCTATAATTAGAGAATCCATTGGGGGAAGCAACCAAAACTCTTTTCCATTGATTGTAAATTTATAGCAATATATAGAGATCCCTTAACAAATTGCATCAACAGCTTAGCTCACTGCTGGTGACCATAGCCAAAGATTGGCAAACGGTGACAGATCGTAAGGAACGTGAAATATTAACTAAAAATACTGCACAAGGTCGACTTTTACTAATTATCTATACATGTAAGTAGAGTATTCGTAATTATTACTTTACTAAATAGGAGAACAAGATACTATACAAGAGGTTTATAATTACAGAATATAGTTATAATTTATTGTGAAACGACAAAAAATCAAATTATGCCTACTTTTCTCCTATATTGTAAATGATGAAATACTATCAAATATAAGTACTAATATTTTATTTCAGATTATATACATGGCGCATGGGTATTGTACACCCTCATGCCCTTTCTACCCTTAGCATTGGACTATATGCTACCTTTAAATGACTCGCGCCCAGTATTAATGCCATTTTATGCAAATTATTTGTTCTTTGAACAAAGCGATTATCATTATTGGGCTTGTGGTCACATTGCTGTATCTTATTTAGCACCACTTGTTCTATTTTGTGGACTTGATACAATCTATGTGATAAGCGTCAAACATACCTGTGGATTATTTGAAATCGTATGGTAGAAAACTCAAATTTATTTCTAATTGCATAATATAATGAGAAAGTGATAATTAGTATTGACATACCAATTATCACTTTGTGCGTTAACAACTACACAATTGAATACATTTGTAATTTAACTCACAGGATTTGGCTTTTAAAATTCCATGATTTATGCATAGTTGCTCATAAAACAATGTTGTTCTAGTATTCAAAAAATAAATTGTACTCTGGGTCATATTTAATCATTTATATTTGGTTTCAACAGGGCTTGAGTCCTTTGAAGCAAGCACGGCTCAATTTTTTAGGATTCGATCTTTATTCATATAAAACCATCATTTGATATTTAGCCTTTAATCATTCCGAGAATTTTAGTTAAATAATAAACATAATATATATTTTCACAATATATACTTCGCAATAGATTATATTACATCTACGGATAGAAGTATTTGTATGTTTTCAGTCGCAGACTAGAGACTTTATTAAAAAGTGAAAAGGGTCAACAATTAAGTAAACTTCCAGATAATCCAGACCTAGTTATGAAATTAAGTGAAACGATTCAATTACACAATGATACTATTGGGTTTGATTATTCGATCATGAATGTAAAACATTAATTAAAATAAAAATATATACAGCTCACGTTTAACTTTCAGATGCTGCGATTTACTAGAAAATTCATTTAATTTGTGTTTTTTGATGGTGAATTGTATGAGCGTGGTCACGATAGCCTTGACTTGTGTATATGTACGAATGTACTTATTAAGTTTGAGATACATCTTCATAAATTGATCCTTAAAATACTTGTATCATTACAGATACTTTTTGTTTATAGTGATTTGTTCAAATTGATACGGATTGTTGCTTTCTTAGTTGGCTTAATTATGCATTTATTGTACTTGAACTGGGTTGGTCAACAAATAATTAATAGCAGCGAACAGGTTTTTATATCTGCGTTAGTAATGATATATATTTTGGATAAGTTTATAGAGAGTGTTTTTTAGCAGATATTATGAATTTGTATTTTACAAAAATAAATTATACTGACTTTATTATAAAACAGATATTTTAGTGACTGGTATTTGATACCAAACAGTACCAAAAAATTCATCAACATAATTATGATTCGTTCTTTAGTACCTTGTACACTAACGTCTGGCAAACTAGCAAATCTTTCCATGGAAAATTTCGGAATTGTAATACATATATATGACATTAGTTACATATATAACGATAAATGGATTTTATGTTGGAAATAATCATTATGTAACTTTCATATTTTTCAGTTACTGAAATCTGCGATGTCGTACTTTACTGTGATCTTATCCTTTTATGAATAAAAAAGTTAATTAAACGATCAAATCATACGTTTCACAATGAAACACAGTAGTATTTAATTGGGTATTTTCTGTAATGAACTTCTTTCAACTGTAAGTATAAATCGGTATAAATGAAAACAAATTTTCAGATACGAAGTAGATTTTTAATTCAATAAAAAATATACATTTATTATGTTATGTTGTTTCATCGTATGAGGCAATTCTGTTTGATGTTTGAGTCAGGGAAAAGAACTTCCGATGAGGAGGATAAAACGAAGCCACGCTTAACATGTCAGTGTAAAGATATCAATAAATATAAATTTTGTATTGGAATACTTATAACCATTAGATTATTATATTACAGCGTTAACGATTTCGCGAATCATGAGTATATATCGATGAAGGGAAATTCAATATCTGTATCTTTTAGATTTTCTCTTATCCAGTTATTAGCTTGCTCGTTCAATGTCGGAGAAAACATGCTATGCCACGCTTGACTTTTTCCTTGTCGCATAAATGTGTCTTTCTTGAATATCACTTTCGCCTTGTCACGTGTCAAATTGACCATCTTATTGTTTTGCAGATTATGAAATGTTAAATGGTTAACTAATTTCTCATACTGTTCTTCCGTGTATGATTTCCCTAAGAAATTGGCGACTTTTTTCGTCGCAGTTAGTAAGTCCTGTAGACAATTCAATATTTATGCATGCAAATCAGTTGAATCAAGAATAATTATATTCAGCAATGAATGAAATATTCATTTTGCACACTCACGTGAGTCATTTCTTCATAAAATAAAAATAAAAAGTTTGGCTCGTGTCGATGTAGCCATCCCTCCTTTATGTGTTTCCAATAAGGACTGAACGAAACTTATTGAATACAGAAAATTACGATAATGAATGTTGCTACAGCTGAATATCTTGTATAAATAAGAGAAAAATAATACCTTGATCATTTTGAAAGTAGTTCCAAAACCGTTCAAAATCACCACAATAATCATAAGCTTTAGCACTTTGATGAAAATGATAATAAGATACTGCCACATCTTTGGGATTACGGGCTACATAAACTACCTGCAACAGAAACACAATATACTTGGGCGCCAAACTACATGCACAGCAAATTTGACTTTTCAATGAAAAATCCACGTACTTTACATTTAGATTTCAAAATATTTGGAACCAAACTTAGTAAAAAATGGGTTTTTATAAATCTTGGGCTCGGCATTGTTCGTGCGACTTCATACGAGGAGTCTACATTTGAAACTATAGCCTCTATTTCAGCATTATTTCGGTGCTCTTTTCGAATGCTTTCGATAGTGCTGTCGGGTACGGCCATCGAAAGTCTGCATTACGAAAAGAATGTGTTATTTTTGCTTAGTATTATGTGAACAATAGCGTGGCGAGTGAATACAGTTTAGTAAGCTTACTCTAAGAACGGATATCTCATCACAAGTGGAACAGATGTTGCTGTCTTATAATCTAAATCGTTGCTTAAAAGCCATACTAATTCTTGTGTCCACGTGGTACCTTAATACAAATAAAAAATAGCTTTACAAATTATTCGTACTGATGCATCCATTAAGCTACATCCTTATGAATAATACCTGATCGTGGATACGTAACAACCCACGTATCGTCTGGTTTGGCTTCGAAATTATAATAAACGGAACACTGTTTCACGTACTTTGCAGGAACAAAACACTTTTTCTCTCCGACAGTCACCCAGCCAAGTTTTTCACCTCGAAAATCGGCCATCATCCTTTTAGTCTCTGTCTCGTCTACATTTTCTATTTGTGGCAATTCATTGTTGTTTTCCATTTTTTCAATTTTCTGCTGAACGACATATTTGACGATTATAACAATTTTATTAAATAAGAGTATACTTTTATTCGTCCTTTCTAATGAACGACACATAAAGTGAATTACAATGAAATTTACTTGCGGTACGTCAAAATTTAAAACCGGAGTGAGGAAACTGCTGAGCTTGATCTAATCTATAGTCGTTAATTTTCTCGAGATATTCAAACTGCGATGGACGAGAAAGTACAATCATTGAAACTTCAATGTAACCTGTAAAAGACAAATTCTTAATAACTAAAACCACTTTTGCTGGAACCACACTGAAAGTCTAATGATACACCCTCCTATGCAATGTACACTACCGTAACTGAAAAAATAAGAACACTCGTAAATGAGTATACCGAGAAGAAATTGAGAGAGACGTTACAATGTCCGAACGCATGCAGGTATGGGCGGACAGTGAAAGCACGCACCGTTACCAGAGGTTCGCTAGCTCCGACCGCTACGCCAAATGAAGTGTGCACCGTTAGTTATTACCTCTTACCTACATATGTTTACTTTCATCTTACATTTTTGAACGATTTATTGATTTTCGTTTTCTTAGTTTGACGTTCGATTGACGTAAATAATGTCATTTTTTTTTCTTACAAATGTGGCACCATCTTTTCACATTCTCATTCAGTTTCGTTTTATTCACTTGACCACCTTTGGTATTCTTTTCCAGTTATTCGACTCCAATTTATACAGCACTCCGAAGAATATATGCTAAGTCAACCGTGAGAACTGCTACTTCAACTACTATGTTTCTTTTCTCTCGTTCTTCTCTCTCTCTTCCTGTCCCACAACCTCGATCTTCTGCACGCACGCACTCAATTTTAACCGTGGTACAATTTTTGAGAACTGATTTTTCAACATTATAACTTATTGACTACTACTATTTTAGCTCGTCTTGTGGTATGAACTGTATTATTGGCATTGTTGACGATAAGGGATATTATCGGTATGATATCTCACGTGAGAGTTACAAATAGCTACGATAAGGTGGATGTATCCACTATAAGATCATCATATATCTATGAATTTCAAATTAAGGCACGAAACAGCCAAGTCACGTTTTATGGAAATATGATAATATGTTGCGCGATCATTCTTTTTGAGACGTAAAAACTAAAATTTCTTGCTTTCGAATTTTTAAATAAATATATACGCCAATTGACATATCCAAACATTTCTTAAAAAGAAAAAAAGTACTCCTGAACCATGCAGTCAGAACGGACCTTTTCATCTTTGATGTGAGACGATGAGAATGCTTGTTACTGAAATTATACAATTCTTCACGTCTATCGTACTATATCGTCGATATTAAAACTGAACTTGTTTCGAAGTCGTCAATTTTAATCAGCATCTCTTTGTTACCATCCATTTTTCTTAAATAGTTTATTTTTATAAATAGTTTACGAATATATTAACCATTTCGAAATCTCAACGTAGGTACTCCATGCGGATTTCTGATATTAAATTTATATTAGATTTTGTTAGTACAGTAGTGTGTTGAGGCCCCCGATCTCGAATTCGACAAATTCATGACAAATACCTTTGGATACGTAGCTTGTATTTAAACAATTGTGGCTGATATAGCGGAGTTATTGTGTTAGTAATAGATAAAATGAAAGCTCGTACGCTGTTTATTTGATATCGATATTACAAGGTAATATGTAGATCGTGATTTTTTATTTTTTTTTAACATAAAATATTGAGCTTCCTACATATGAAAAGGTATTTGTTACAAATCTACCGGAAAATTCGTCTAAAATGGGCAGAGAAAAAGCGGGCGCGCATTCAGACGAGACTTCCGAAGCGAGTGGTCGAAGGACAACGGGAGGACTTACAGCACCAGGATGGGCCGCATCGACGCTGCGAATCATCAGGTATCGTGAAAATTAAATTATTACGGTAAACCTGTACATAATTGCTCGCGTCCATGATAACGCCCGTTTGTCGTGTAGCCATGCTGACGACTCCGTCGAGCAGTTATGGAACGCAACGCACGCGCATTATTTTTATTTATTTATTTATTGTTTCAATTTGCCTGGTGTTAGCGAATTGGTAGTTTAGTGCATGTAAATAATTTTCCTGTCGGATCCCACTCTCAACAATCACGAATAAAAGTATATACTAACACTCCAGTCGATTCACTTTACGAGTTGTCTACTATACGAACAATGTATATAGATAGAACAATAAGTACGCTTCTTCACACATTTCTTTTCCTCCACAAATTCTTGCAGATTATATAAGAATTTTAAACGATACAGTAGCCAATGTATTTTAGTACAATGTATTTTATCTACAATCTAAAAAATAGATAAAATATAAAGCATGATGAGATTAGCAGAGAATTCAATATTCTGAAACATTCCCAGACTATACTTTAAAAAAACTTGCTACGTACAAAATTACTTTTATAAGTTACAGGATATCTGAATTTGGATTATGTTGCTTTCTACTATTGAGACGGTATCTCTGTAGCTATATGACAATCCAGATAACCAATAACTAAAATAAAGTAAAATCATTTTCGTCACAAATTGGATTTCAAAAATGTATTGCTTCATTCAAATGATCTGCTAACTAAGTCTAACTTTCAAAGATTATGAATACAGTTTTAATAGTTTTAATAAATTAATAGCTATAAACGCTGTTGAGCGAGCTATGGATGTTTTCGTTCTCGCGTCGAGGCGTCATACCATTTGCTGTCACTTTTGATTACAGCCGTATCGTGGGTATTCGTCATCACATACATATCTCCATGCAAATCAGTAACAAATAAAATAGCAAGTACATTTTCCGTCTACCGAGTTGGAAAAAATCCTAAATGAATATATATCTCATCATCATATAAGAAGTGTTAAAGGTAAAGATAGTGTTGCATTATGGCGAACGACATACACTATTGTTATTTAATAAGTCACGAGTAGATGTCGATGTTGTACTATTTCACCATGTTATTATTTTATTAACAACTATTTACTACCATTTTATTATTTTGCAAATTGCAAATGATTAATCAATTTTTCATACTATCTACCTGTTCATGAGTTATCTAAGAATTTCGATACTTTTTTCGCAATAAATTATTTTAAATTGCACGAAATGAATACATGCCATAGTTTAAGATATCATTCAATTTTTAAGACAAATAATTCTTAATCAGTGTTTTATATTGCTGTTATTGATCTTCAATATCAATGTTTATATATGAATATATATTATTATTTTTATGTAATACCGACATGATTCATTTTTTCGAAGAATAAAAATAGGAAACTTCGGTTGTGTCTATGCTTCCATCCTTATTTCAAGTGTTCCCAATAAGGACTCCATGAAACCTGTTTAAAAAAAATTATTATGATAAACTATAAGATTTGTATGAATTTTAAAGAAATTATACCTTTAACGTTTTGAAAATCGTTGCAGAAAGCTTAAAAATCTCTTCCGTAATCGTAAGCTTTTACTGTTTTATTAAAACGGTAGTAAAAAACTGCTGCCTTTCGAATCTCTAGCTACATCGACTACTTGCAAAAAATACGTTACGCTTAAATTAGAATAGAATATAGAACAGCGTCGGTTCTGACCAAAAATTGATAATAAATTAGAGCCACGCCAAATTACCGTACCTAACAGTTAGATGCTCACATATTTGGGACTAAACTTAGAGGAAAATAAATTTTTATATATCTCGTTGTCGGTATTGATCGTTGATTTTCATAAGCCATATATAGATTGACAGCCATTGTCTTTCACATTTCGCAAGTACAAACTATTTCATGTCTCCGACATACGCCCATTCAAACTTTTCACTCCTGAATTCGGCCATCATCTTTTAAGTTTCTTCTTCTTTCAGATATAAAATTTGTTATATAGTCCATACCCATCTTCCATTTTGCATGACTCTAATTGATCAGTCATAACACAATCGGATCAATAATTGAAGAGACTGATTGAAATGACACTAATAAATCAGTGTCAATACCATCGGATCAGTAATTCAAGAGATGTTATCGAAAAACGGGAGTTTAAAAATAAAATGCAGCGAATTCTTGGTAACTTTCCAGTTAGTTTAATCTGAAATAAAGTCATAGCATTATCCAAAAAATCAATGAGTTGTTTTTTTTGCAAATTTTGCAAATTCTGAACAAATGTTAATGTCCTCCACATATTTTCCCAATTTCCTCAAACACACATTTACCACGACACTTTGGAAAATGATTTCAACTGAAAAATGAAAAACAGATTTCCCATAAAATCTTGTAAAATGAATTTACTTTTGAGAGAAGTTGGAAAACTTGCGGAGAATAAAGCAGAAAGTATTGTCAATAAGCAAACTTTATTTTTATTATGGCTCACAGTTGTATAAGTTACACTATTATAAGTCAAAGGATGAAATGCTAAAGAGAGCGAGCTCAGTTTGTGACTTGACGGATTTGGTATATTCTGTGAGACCCCCTTCCACGTAACAATTAAGCAGAGAGGGAATCGCGTTATCCCTGCCGATACTTTGGACAACCGAGATCGTTTGGTCTATCGTCAACTTTCATTTTGACCAATTAGTGTTTCAGTCACGACCAGGTATGCAACTACCACTCAACATTTTTGTGAAACCGATTTTTATGGTATATATTACAAAACATTATAATTAAATAATAGTTTTAATTAATCATTATAATTAAACTTGGCTCGTATAAACGCGTTACTTTATAATTTGAATATAACTATTTTGTTTGGAATAATTCACCGATAATATAAATAGCACTAAGGAAGACTCAACTTGCAAAGAGCATCAACTATCAAGTCAATTTGCAATTTTTATGTATTTATTCGTTATTTGAGTGTCGTTAAACCTCAAAAATATAAAAATCTCACTACACAAATAGAAAAGAGCTGAAGAGCTTTGGTTAATTAAAAGTATTGATTTATGTAAATTTTAGCTCTATCCATATAAGAATGAACCGAAGATAAGTACATAACTTAAGCAGTATTTTCTAATATACTATTTTTATTATTTTAGTATTCCTTCATAAAAATACACAATCATAAAATGACATGAAATTCAATAGATTACGAATAAATATCGATGAATGGAAATTCGATATCCGTGTCCTTTAGATTTTCTCGTATCCAGTCGTTAGCTTGCTCATTCAATTTAGGAGAAAACATACTATGCCACGCTTGACTTTTTCCTTGCCGCATATAAGTGTCCTTCTTGAAGAGTATTTTTGTCGCATCTCGTGTTAAATTCACCATTTTATTATTTTGTAAATTGCTGAATGTCAGATGGTCAACTAATTTTTCATACTGTTCATCCGTATATGATTTACCTAAAAATTTCGCTACTCTTTTAGATGCAGCTAATAAATCCTGCAACAAAGGGAATAATACAATTCATTTTCGATATATAAATAAGTTGGATTATATGAAATAATGTCTATTAAAGGATAATCCAACATTGTAATTAATTAAACGAAATATAATTATAAATATTAAATCTAATATCGATGAGTATGTGCAAGTGAAATTTTTATTGCTAACACTCACATGGTTCATTTCTTCATAGAATAAGAATAGAAAATTTGGATCGTGCCTATGTTTCCATCCTTCTTTCAAATGTTCCCAATAAGGACTCCATGAAACTAGTTTAAAAAAAAAATTAAGGGCATTTATTTCATGAAATTACAGATGTCACGCTATAGAATTTGTAAGAATTTTAAAGAAATGATACCTTTGTCGTTTTGAAAATAGTTCCAGAAAGTTTCAAAATCACCACAGTAATCATAGGCTTTTACTGTTTTGTGAAAGTGGTAGTAAGAAACTGCCATATCTTTTGGATTCCGAGCTACATAAACTACCTGTAACAAATTCATTACATTGCATGAAACATTAAAGTAAAAAGTTTATGAACAAATCAAAGATTTACAGTGAATGAGGTATTTCAAATTTTAGTACCTTACAATTAGAGTTTAAAATGTTCGGCATCAAACTTAATGGAAAATGAGTTTTTATGAACCTTGGGGTTGGCATCGATCGTGCTATTTCGTAAGTCAATTCTACATTGGACATCAAACATTGTATTTCAGGATTTGCTTTATTTTCATCCCGGATACCTTTTAAACAACTGTCATTTATAGCCATCGAAAGTCTGTCATAAAAATGTTTATCATAAAATATCAGTCATCATTATGTTTAAAAATTATAGTATCTGTGCGAGATAATCAAGATATACTATGTTAATAATATAGTTAAACTTACTCTAAGAAAGGAAATCTCTTTACGAGTGGTACGGATTTGGCTGTTTCAAAATTTAAGTCGTGACTCAAGAGCCATATCAACTCCTGCGTCCATGTCGTACCTAAATGGATTAATAGACTCGTAAAAATCATTGAAAATTTTTTTCTTTATTTTGATTTATAGGCTGTATGTTATCTCGTTATTGAAGTGAAATACCTGATCGGGGATAAGTAACAATCCACGTATCATCTCGATTCACTTCAAAGTTGTAATAAATCGAACATTGTTTAGCATATTTTGCAGGAAGAAACCATTTCTTTTCTCCGACATGTACCCAACCGTGTTTTTCACCTTTGAAGTACTCCATCATCTTCTTACTTTCTTCTTGCAAATATTCGATTTTCGGAAGCTCATTGTCCTTTTCCATTTTTGATGATTTTAACTGATTAGATACAGAGCGATTTATTAATTACTATAAAATTAATCTACAATTATGTTAAGGTGTAAAATATTCAAACTGAGTAGATTTTTGTAGAATACTGTGAAAAATCATCATACTCCCAGTTATATTACACAATTAGTAGTTGAGTAAGTTAAATGATTGAAGAAATGTTCACGAAATAAAGAATAGTCACAGTATTTCAACAAAAACGTGTTTATAATTAATATTAGATTCATTAGACTGAAGGCTACAGATAAATCTTCAATTAGGTATTTTTTATTCAATAATGCGGTATTTGAAAGCCTCGTCGTAGGTCATATAATACTGAGCATAACTAGGATAGTACCATTTATTATTTATAAAATCATTGAGGTGCATAATGATTAATGTGAATATTTTGATAATGCTTCTAATTAAAAGAATGAAGAACAGATGAATTCAAGATTTTTGAAAAGTGGATTTGTAAAATTGTAATTATTATTTGTAACAATATTGATTTATTTTCAATTTATTGAACATCGCAGGTGGTACCAGTACTTTACTACTGCTTGTAAGAATCGGTTGAGTGGATGTATAAAAAGCAAATACCAATTTAAAAATTGTAACAATCCGTAATGTATGATTGGATCGTTCACAAGATAATTAAAAGACGCATCTAAAGTATGAACCAACTTATCCTTCCTGCTGAACGTTTCGGAAAGATAAACGTTCCATTTTCTAAGGACTGAATATCATTCCCTCATTAGTGACATCAACCAATAACGCCATGCAATCGTGACAAGCAATTGAAACTAGCGACGTTGCAACCTTGGAGTAATTTGCGAAGATATATACCAGTGATTGCACTTGTATCTTTAAATATATCCATTTGTAAAATGACTAGTCATGTATATTACGATACAAATACTTTTTGCAACAAATCATTAAACATATAAAGCGTTGAACTTGCTAAATTTAACTAATGTAGGTGATCAGTGAAAGAAATGAAAAGTTAATTTTTCTGAAATATCGACAAAAAAGAAAAATTAAAACGTGCGTGCAGGATAAAGGCAATAAAACGCATACATGTTGGAAAGCACGCGCACCATGTGATACATCTGCTAATTAAAACACACCTAACGATCGCAATTGCTTGGAAGTTAAAATTGGCTATTGATATGATTAATAAATCACGTTTCATACCCATCAGAAGTCATTAGGAACTCTACGTAAAATGACTTTTTGGTCAAACGAACAATTCATTAAAGTGATTTTGAGAGCGATTATGGAGAAATGGAGAAACAATAGATAAACAGTATTCGCTCTTCAACTCTTTAACTCGCAACGAAGTGTGAAAATCTCTAATTTTCCCTAGTGCGATTTTTTATCAATAATTCTAAATGTTCTCCAAAGAAACATAGCTCAAACGACAATGGTTTTTCAGCTATTTTACTTTTAAAGTTCATTCGAATATCAACAACCGAAAAACGAGAAGACTTGCTAAACCTAATCAACCCTGGATGAGTAGCTGGCTTAATAATGTTTTCGGTCTTGCATGTATGTTAACAGTATTATGAACAAGTTGTATCGGTGTAGATCTTTTTATGATATTTCATATAATTTTTTTTTTTCATTTTTCATATTAACGCATCAGTTTGATAAATGATTACGATGTGTAAATTTCTTGTTGCTAACATGAAAATTACATTTAACTGGCGGTTTATAAATAAACGGTATTTAGTTTCAAAGTTACAAGTACTTTCACTCATAAATTCCCGTTCAACGAGAAGCTCAACAATAAATCATACGTAGTATCATAAATGACATCATATTGACGTATCGCTTGAGTGATTTATATTTTAATCGGTTTCCTTCTCGATTAACCTTTTACAATCGCTGTATAAACTTAATTAAGTATAGAGTCAATCACGCGTCCGCGTCGTTAGCTGTCTTCTGTCCAAGTCCTCGAAGACAAAAATAGTTAATGCAAGAGTCAGTATTATATCGCTGATAAAGGACTCTGTATAGGTATATATATAATAGCGTTCAAGGTACTTGTCGTACTGAAATGAAGTCAATTTTGAAGGTTTTACAATATTGTATCAAACTAAATTTAGCTCGAGCAGACTGTTGTATGTATAGCAAAGTGAAATCTACGATGGTGATTTTTATTGCAATCAGTTATCTGTGAGGTAGCTGAATAAAAAATCGCTGACGACAATCTGTAAGGTCATAATTATGCTTCATTGATGACTTTACTTACTAGCTGCTTCCCGAAATCGATTGTCGATAACATGTACAATCTTATCAGAGATTTGCAATGACGCTGCGGTCGTCAAATTTCGAATTGAAAAGTGTAGGCTACTTTATTTGTCCGACTATCGCGTAATTAAAAGTAGCGCGAATATAAAAGATCGCATACATACCCGTGTTACGAATAAAACGGCTTATAATCCTGCCAGCTGAAGTTTATACTCGTGGAGTGACAGCAATGCAGTTTGTTAGCAGGATTTGTTATCGGCAGCCAAGTCTAGGACGCGTCTTGCGTTTGTTTGCGCAGTCTCGCCGAGCTCAACGGGCGCGATCCGCTCGGTCGAACGCGATCCAGAAAACAAAGGCGATTGCTGGGTTGCCCGCGTGCACACTGCGAGATAAGAAAAAAAATTGCGCCCGACTCGTTGCGCGAAGGAAAAGCGCGCGTAACATCTCGGAGAGTAGGGAGTACGAGTGGCATTTGCGCGAGGCGTTCGACCAAGTTCGACGGTCCGTCCGCGCGATTAGAGATCGGTTTCGCGTACTCGGCGAGGTCGAGTGGCGAACGAGAAGAAACGATCGGATCGGATTCGCGCGAAAGTGTGCCGCCGCTCGCACGACCGGCGTATGCACGGTATCCCTTGCGGTCTTGTAATTTTGCAACGAGAGATAAGTTGCGAGGGGCGAGCGTTGTCAGCTTGCGATTGTATCTTACTCCTGCACGGACAATTAATTGTTCTACCGATCGCCAGACAGTTTGCGACAATTCACCATTCCTTCCATGTCCCCGTTTTCTATACGCCATTGTGCATGGATCGCCGTACGTAAATCACCGCAGACGCCGATGTATGCACCGATAATTGCAATTATACGTTTAATTGGAAAAAAGACAGGCGTGTTTCATTAGCCTTTCGTCGTGCTAAATATTCACATTATTTTGAACTTTGAAAAATGTGTAATCTCAGTCATGTGCATTTTTCAAATAGTTGCATTTAGCTACAATTATTTTTACACACTTGACCATTAAATTCATTTTCTGAAAAACAAAAAATAACTGTGAAACTTAAAAACTCGAAACATTAATGAACACATATCTATTCTAAAAATATCGAATAACAGACTTAGCCAATTATGCAAGCCACAGCATCTTGAGGGGATTTGTAAAATTTAAGTCTAGTAGTAAGTTTAGTTCTTACAACATTCTTTAACACGTTTACTGCCACATAACCTAATATGGATCATGATTCTCCATGGTTTTCTTATCTAGTTATCCAATAGGGCGAGAGTTTCGTGAAAATGAGATGACAGGGCGACTCGTAGAAAAAGGTACACCTCAGACAGATCGTTACACTACAGAGCGACAAATGGAAGATAAATACAAAGAGTAAAAAACCACTTTATTGACCTACTTTTTAATACAAGCTTCAGTCTCTATCTCTTTCAGCATTCAATGATACTATTGAGGCTTAATTCGATTCAAGTGTAGTCGAAAAATAGTGAATGGTAATAGAAACAATGGAATCGGTGGATGTGGAATCATACTCACTCAATGCGCGTACGTGCGATGACTCGTAGGCTCTCGTGGCATGTTCCTATACTCTCGATTGAAAAAATCAAATGAGAAACAATTTCATCGCATAATTTATTTTTAATAATGATGTATCAAGTCATATATCCAAAATATTAATCTAAAAATCAATAATACTGTCTTAACAATATGAATCAATTATAGCTCGTTCTATGTTGCTCGTAAATACACCGAATGTTACAGTCATTGCACACATGCTGCTTCACATATTGCTTACTAAAAATGCACGATTTTTAATGTTTCAAGTTGAATATATTTCCGATTTTTTAACGACTTATCGTCAATCAATCGAATACATTTGTAGATTATATTTATACTACATACTATATTGCAGATACGAATTAGAAAATTTTGGCAAGATTGTCATATTCATAGCATTCATTAATATGTTTCAATTGTAAAACTTTATTATAATGAATGATCAATAAAAATATACTCAACTTTTCATGAGACTCACTATAGTTAGATCAAATACATTTGTTTTCTCAATTTTGGAGATAAATTACATATGATACGATTTGTAAATAAAAATAAATCAAATCAACGTATCAATCGCAGCACGTAAAATTATGACTTTTAATTGCAGTAGACTTAAGTCGCTAATTTTCTAGTATTTTGAAAATAACATTAAATTGAAAAACAAAACCTTTTCTGATTTTACGCACACTCTTTGTTCAAATTACATTTGCTACACTTGTATGGAAATAATTTAAGTGTAATAAAATAGTGTTTTTTCGAATAGTTTTACCTAATATAAATATTGATAATATATTGATATTGTAGATTATGATATATTACTCCAGTATATGCTTAAACAATTTAAATAAACCTTATAAAAAACAAAATATGACATCGTTTCAAAATAATTACATACATGTCGCGAACATCGCATTTTCCTACTACATTGCATTTACATGCATTTTTTAATTCAAAAAATTCGAACGGATCGGTAAATAGTAAAATGTTATATGAAACTTGATCTCGATCGATAAAACAGAAAGGATTCGATTCGTCGTGAATTCGTCTGCAAGTGTTTCGACGTCTATATTATATAGAGTTGAATCTTGAACGCAATAATAATACTCGCTTCAGACATTCTTAGAACATTCCTTAACATATCTCGAAATAGTGGACAACTTCCAAAATCATAAATTTAATCTTTAGCTTTAGAATTTGGTTTAAGTTACCACGTAGATTTACATTTCAAGTTTAATTACTGAAAATTGCAAAATATATTATCAAATATTATATAACCTAATAAAAAAATAAATATCTCACGAAGGTATTCAAGAAAAAAATAATTCAACAACGAAGATGTCTTTTGCTCGTGGTATTAATGTGTTGAAAGTAGTGCGTTATTCAACTCCACGGAATAAAGCGTTTACTAGCTCCCAACTTTGTTTATCAACCACTACACCTGCGGGATCTTATTTACCAGAACCGAAAAAACCTCGATTTGTATTTTTGAGAATAATATGTGCTGTTGGAATAGGTCTTTTTATAGGAGCAAATATAAGTAAAAATATTGCCAATTTTCTAGAGGAAAATGAATTGTTTGTTCCTTCAGATGATGATGATGATGATTAGATAAATCAAAAGGTTTGTCAAATTTTTAATTTCTAAACATAACAGTGGTAATTTTTTTATATCTAAAGTCTTGATAATTACTCAAAAATATTTTTTATAGTGATCATCAATTATCTGCTCTAAAATTATAGGATGTTGATTATAGATGCTGTGTTAGGTATCTCTTGAGCTTTACGACCTTTTTGTCATATCTATTGATGTTAATAAATGCTGCAATCTCAAATTGTACAATTTATTTATTTATAGGTACAGTTAATAATACCATTCAAAGTATAATTACAATGCTCATTAAAATGTATAAATATTTATGGTTTTAAAATTAAATAAATGTTACAAATAAATAAGGCTTGTACAATAGTACAATATAAAAAATGTTTAGTCTCTGGTTTACACTTATTTTTAATCCTGACAATATTTACCACAATAATATTAGTATTTTCAATAATTTGTTCTCAAGCACACGTGAAAATAATTTTTAGATGTATGTATATAGTTTTAATAAGTGTTTCAAATTCAAATAATTCAATATAAAAATTTGATGGATAAATTTATAAACTCAATTGCACAACTATTTTTATAGCAGTATTTTCACATATCATACATGTCACTCTTTCCCTATACATATTTACAACAACGGCATTTATCAAATTTATTTTGATAATTATGAACATAACAGCGTTTATCTCTGATTTATAAAAGTATACATTCCCCAATTATCATTGAATTATATTTTGTATGAGAAGTATTCCTTTAGTTGAAATTAAGTAGTTGTTTTTATTAATCACATACAGTTCACATAAATCTATAGTTCTAATAATACCTTTATGAACAATGTCGCGTAAAATATACATTGCTAAAAATGTCAAATCTTTCAAAACTTATATAATGAATTATAATAAATTACATAATCCATTGTTTTAATTTTGTTCAAATTTGGCGATTTTCAATATTCTACAAAATTAAGAATGATCCATCATCATTTGCTCAAATAGATATCATTGAGTATATTTTAATTATCATTCCTTTCAAATAATATTTTGTAGTAAATTTAATTACTCAGTCATTTTAATATACGCACTTTAAGAATAATATGCTATTGTATTCAATCAACTAACGATTTTCAGAAAAATTAAAAGTTAATTTGAAAAAATTTTTGTATATGTAAAATAAAAATAAATGCCTCTTGAGAAGTTACTCAATTTCAAGTTAGAATAAGAGTCGGAGTAATTGAAATAACTCAATAATGAAAAATTGATTGGAGCTGAAATCAATTACGTACAAACTTAATTATGGAGTGTTAACAGAAAAAGCTCTTAACAGACTTATTCCGGAGGTCTTTTGTGCAAGCCCCATCCATGGAAGCATTTGGTAAAACGACGTGACTCTTTTCCTTTGGCCGTTAGATATAGTTTACGAGGACGTTCGGGCTGCTTAACCCTTAGATGTTGAATATAAACCTAAAAACATTAGGATTTTGTATATAACTCTTATATGACAAACCATTATATGTAATTTATTTAACTTCGTATGAAAATAAAATACCTGAGCAGATTTGAAAGCTAACTTGATTTCTACTTCTGAGCATCGAGTACCAAGCCAAAGAAATACTTGTTCTCCATTATCAAGAATCATAATGTCGTCGTCAGCCAAGTCATCCTGAAGTAAAAATAAATACTCTGATTAGAATCAATAGAATTTTATTTAGATGCGAGAATAAAAACTAAATCTTACTTGGCAAAAATCTGTGCATTTTTCACTAATCGTGAAATAACCTTTTTCATTTGAACATCTAAATAATCTAGTATATTGCATAAATTCAGCATCAGTCTCATATTGTCTTTTGCCACCTAAAGCCACCCAGAAAAAGTTTTCAGGTTCATCACCTTCATTTAGAATTTGCATGCTTATCCAAGGCTGAAATATCAATGTAATGATTATACATTCTAGTTTTCCACTTTCTTCATTCATAATGCTTACTTACACTATTAAACTTTTCATTAGCTATTTCTTCAATTAGCTTGGCATCTTCGAGATCGCATTTAGAACCAATCCAAACGTATATTATTCCTGACTCATCGTCATTATTGAAAGGTACATTTAAAATATAGCTATAATTAAAAGAAACAAATCAACTTTTCTTTATTTAATATTTCATTACTATATTGCGGTATATTATAATATTTAACGTACCAAAAAGCAGAATTTAACAGACTGGCATCTGTCGCAATTTGAATCAATCTTGTGCATAAAGGACTTCCATTGCTTCTCAAGTGATAGAACTTTACCTTTTTTGCATCATTTGATTTTACTTCTTTTCTTTTCCCTTGATGAATAATGAATTTCTTTTCGAAGTGAGCCATAAATTTCAGTGTTTCCTGTTGTTGATGAGTTCTCACTACTTCCAATTTTTCACCAAACAGTGATTTGAATTTTTTCTGAAGACTACAATTATAACATTGATAATTCAAAATGATGAATTCACATAATTGTGAATTTGCATAATTGAATAATTACCTGAAAGTAAACGTAAGCCAGCCCATATTACCAGCATCTCGCCCTTGCCAAAAGTAAACCATACATTGAAAATCGTCTTCACACTGTTCATCACCATCTTCATTTTCATTTACATCCAACGGCTAAAAATGTTGTTAAAATAAACGTTGAATAAAACTTATCAAGTATAATTGATACTTAATATTTGAAATATTTACCATCCAATATCTACATAAAAATACATAACAATCGCCACTGTAAAAGTGACCTAATTCTTCTTCTGGAAGACGAACAAACTTTTTGCCTTCTAGAACGAAAGCTTCCATTGCTTCCAAATCTTCTTCGTTCCATTCTTTCATCAATTGATCTGCTTCAGATGAAGACATTGGACGTTGACGAGGCATAAATAAGGCAGCAAGATCAGCCTAAAAATATGCTCAGTGTTGAAAAAATCCTACAATTTCGAAAAAAAATCAGTTATGAGCGTGATGCATACCTTCGTTTCTTGTTGTTTGGCCCATTTCGTTAAATCAGCACCAGTTTTAGCAACAGATTCCGCTGTTCTCGTAAAATCAACAGCAATAACTTCATCCCATCCAGTGAATTTACTTTTGAATATCTGTGATTCTGTACCTTCTTGCAATCTTGTAACTAATGCATACTCTGGTCTCTGAATCATATTAAATAATTCCTGAGATAACTTTACTGCAGCCGCTCGCACTAATCTAGTTGATTTCTTCCCAAACCTAAATGTTATAGTATGCATTTGTTAAAAAATATAAACTGTTCAGTAATGATTACTAAAACTAGTTACATACCAAACGTAAACATCCAAATAACAATCTAAAATATAAACATTTCGATTATTAAGAAGCTTATTGACTAGCTTCGCATGGGGTACCTCAACTTGAGGTAATTCTAGATAACCCATTCCCAATCGAACTTGGTATAATCTCGGGGTAACAGGTACAAAATCAGAGTCAACATGTTCCTTAAATAATCATTATTTTAACATTTCAAAAGATCTTTGATTAAAAATATAAGCTTATAATATATTTACCACTGGTTTTACAGGACCATCGGCACCTATACTCTTCCAAAACTCTTCTGATTCGGATCCCATCATTTCAGTGATGATTTCGCTTTTATTTTTTCTCTCGTTTTTATTGATTTTCTCAGCCATCAATCTCGATTTTGATTTCAACGTATTCTTTGCATTTTTACCGTACCACATGTAAATTGATTTATTGCAATCGAGAACAAATACATAGTTAGGATCTAGCGATTCAGCGCAAACGGGAACTGGTTCTAAATGTATCGAAGCTCCGGCACCGTGCACACGATAAAACCTCGTTATCATCGGCTAAACACAGTACATATTTACAGTAAAATACATTGACTACGATTAAACAAATAAAATCTTTAATAAGGATTTTTACCGTGTCTTCAACTGTATAGAATCCTGATGAAGTACGACCACCTTCTATATATGTAATACCAGACTCAAAAAGCATAAGAAATTCATCTGACTCGTCAGCTTGTTCTTCCCTTATTGTTCGACATTGAGCACCAAGAAAATTACGTAAATTTACAGCGTGGATAGCTGCGCATGCTCGTTTGTCCAGCTTTAATACAGAAACAAAAGTCATGTGTGAAGACAAAATCAAGATGACAGTGAAATAATATTAAACTGTTTGTATAAAAATATATACTGTAGCTTTGTCGCCAATCCAAAAATAAATCGCCCACACCAAAGATCCGCTGTCATCAATACTAGTTTTTAGAACAATGTAACAATCTCCTTCATAAAATTTACCATGAGCAACTTCTTCTATCTGATTTGGCAGAAAGTTCTCAATTTCCCAAACTGCTAACCCTGGCGTCCGACCAGCATCGTCGTCAAAGAATTCGGAATAATCAAGTGGAGGCTTTTCCAAGGTTTCATCCCATCTCTTTGGTCTGCAAAATAACATAAATTTATTGTTTATGGTAGATGAAAAATTGCCAATATTTTTTAAACTAAGTAACTTACTTCAAGGACTCTGGTTTCTCATCTTCCAAACTACCATCTTTATTCTTTTCTTTTGCGATATCTTTCATACCCTATATATGAAGACAATATTAGTCTTAATAATAATTAATGGTAACTATATTAAGTAATTAAAATACCAACCTTTAATATTTTTGCTTGATCTTGGTCAGCTTCTTCTTGATCACGTCTTCGACGCAGCCGCATTTTTCTAGCAATAGGATCTTTGCTACTGTCTAAAAAAAGAAAAAATAATAACATTTTTCATAAATAATCGATTTTAAAACACAAAATTCGAATTAGTATAATATAATTATTTACTCACTGGCTGTCTGTGCTGGCGCTGGAATATTTGCACCCGCAAGACGTAATTGATGTTGTAGAGAAAAATCGATGTTATAAAATTCTATACCTGATCCTCTTTGCACTTCTGTTGGCTTTGGAGGCATTACTAAATTCGGATTGTCTCTTAAATCTAAACATTCTAAATCAGTAAGTAAATGTATTGCATCTGGTACAGTTATCAGTCTATTAGAAGTTAGAATGAGTTGTTTCAATGAACCGCATCTAAAATTTAAATTGTCATTTATAAATACATTTCTATAAAAAGTTAATATAAAAATATTGTCCAAAAAATATACCTGCAAAGACCTTCAGGAATCATTTCTAAGCGATTTTTTGCTGCAGAGAAAACCTGCAAGGATGAAAGTTTTCCAATCCCTGATGGAATTCCTTTGAAATCCAATTCATTGTCATTTAAATACAGTCTTCTTAAAGATGACATTTTGCAAAGAGAAACAGGTAATGCTGTTAAGTTATTTCTACAAAGACTCAAGGTTTCTAATTTTTGCCACATTTCTGAAAAGAGATGTTTAAAGATGCAGTTATATTTATTGTAAGTGCAAATAAAAAGAAAAGTGATCTATACCTATAGCAGTGGAAAGCTCAGTGATTTTATTATCACTCAAATTAAGACGGCGAAGATTTGGAAGAGAATAAAGAGCATCTGGAACCTTTGGTAGATCATTCTGAGAAAAATCTAATTCTTGTAAATTAGTTAAACTTTCTAAATTAGAAGGAATGTTGTTCAGTGTGCGTTGAGTATTGCGCATATTTAGAGTAGTTAAATTCATTAATGACGGTAATTGCCTACATAAAATTTATTTATTAATTAGATAAAAATTGTCAAGAAAATCCATTGATTTAATTTTGAAAATGAATGAGTCTTACCTTAACTGAAAATGACCAAGAGGATTGTGACTTAAATTTAATGTCTGTAGATTAGCCAATCTACGCGTCTGAGGCGGTAACGTTTCTAATTGATTGTGACTGAGGTCAAGAAATAGTAAATCAGTTAAATGGATGAATAGTGTGTTTGGTATTGCTTCAATGCTAAAAATAAAAACAAATGATTTACATTCAGACTCATTTGCAGAAGAAATTTGATGTTGCAAGATTACATCAATAAAGATAAAGCATATGAGTGTCTATCTTTGCTTTTAATACCACACAACTTACTGATTATGGCTCAAATTGAGATTTAACAATGAACGAGCTCTTTCAAGACCTTCTGGAACTTCACGCAAATTATTTTTACTGATATCAAGAGTAGTTAATTCTTCCAAATGAAAAAGTTCAGCTGGTATTCCACTGGTTTTTATATTATTGTTGCGTATATTTAAAGTCCTCAAACAATTCAATTCAGTTAGTTCACCATAAAGTTTTTCCAATTGATTTTTAGTGATTGACAAATGTTCCTATAACATTATATTAATTGGTTAATGATATAAAAAATAATTCAAAAATAAACAACTCAAATTTCAAGCTCACTACATAATCAATGGCTTTTAATATTAAAACAGTCTTTTTGATCTTACCAATTTTAATAGCTTTCCCATTTCTTCTGGAATCTCTGCTAAATTTGTTTTGTCTAACTTTAGCCATTGTATTCCGGTCATCAAACGAACTGATTCTGGAAACTTTCCTCCCTGAAAATATGAAAATTTATATAAACAAATGCTTAAATTTTTTTAATTATTTAATACATGCCAATTTTTTTACATTATTTTAAAACAAAGACTTTTTAAGTGAAAATTTAAAGAAAATTATTTAAAAATAGTAAATTAATGAAAAAATGTTTTGAATGTTAAAAATAGTTTTATGATCCCATCATTATGATTTCTTCATCAATAGAATGAATTGAAAGACAAAAATGGAATAATCAAGGACACAAAAAGCACTTACTCCAAAATCATTTTTGCTAAAGTCCACTCCACGGACAAAAGGAAGGACACCAGTATTGGCCATTTTTTATACTTCAGATACAACTAACAAATAAAATCATACTATGCACAAAAAAGCTAAGCTCATCCAATTTGTGTTAATGAAGCAATTTTCAAAATATTTTCTATCTAGCAGAAGGTTAGGTCGTGTATCATGTAAACTACGCGAAATCCACGATTGCCAGACCAAGAAGGTCGCAATCATGAGCAGAATGCAGTTTTTCTACTCGTGGAAATGCAAAGAATTAGTCACTGCGCGTTATATTTTTAATCTTCTACGAGTAGTCATCGAAATCCGTGCTCCAAAATAGAAAGAGACAACTAGCACGAATTTCTCATTCCATCTCTCAAATCGACGTTATGAAGTTAGCTAATGATTCCATTTCACATTGTTAACAGTGTTGACGCTATTCGTTTCGACTTTCGATTTCAACTTTCAAGAATTTCAAGTTTTAAGAATTAGATTGAATCGACTTTAACAGGTTTCTCAACTAAATAGTCATTAAAATTGAAAACAAAAATCTAAAGTTTGTTTTAGCGAGCAACGGTCAGTTCAACGATAAATGTTTTATTTTCATTGTTTTCTACGTTATTTTAGTTAAATTTTGCATTGTTATAATCATGAGCAGTATTGACGATTCTAGTTTAATATCAGGTAATTATTTTTAATTGTGAAATTTGTACGTTAAACGTCTAGAGCAGGTTATACACAATTCTTTGTTTCTATATTGATATACAGAATAAATATTATATCTACTGTTGTATTACATAAAAAATTTAATTAATTTTTTTATTTTTTGAAATATTAGGTATATCCAATATATCCCGGATTTCTAAAGTACACAGTTCTACATCTACATTTTCTAAATTTGATTCTACTTTCAACATTTTTGAATGGCAGAGTAAAAGTTTTGCCACAGATAAGGAGAAACTAGATTTAAGAAAAGTTCCAGAATCAACAAAAACATACAAAGCTCTTAGTTCTTGTGAAGAGATTTCCTGTGATTATGCAAAACTCAAGCTTATTTATGATTGCCTTAAAGAAATAATTTATAGTGAAAATCTTTCAATTAATCCAAACATAATAAAAAAATTGAATGAACTTTTAATCACTCATGAAGTTAAAAAATATTTACATTTGCCAAATGAATCAAAAGAACATAAAGAAGAACTGACCTTATTAGGTATTATAGATTTAGTAAAATATGATTTTAGTTATCAAGAACAATTAGATATTAAAAGCTGTTTGGAAAACAAATTGCGTGAGAAAATACATAGCTTCATCTCAATGTAATACCATTATTATTTCTACCTATATTAATTTTTTTTCACATAAACTATACTAAGTCATTTTATTTTTAAGGTATAATAATATTTCTGGTTCCACTGTAAAAGAAATTTTAAAATCTAATGAATCATTACTCCGTTCTCGATTCCATCAAAAAGGTGAATTGGAACCTATGCATTGGAAAGACAAAATAGATGAAGTATGTATTGAGTATAAAAGAGATCTACTATATTGTCAAAAAATGATAAGCCAATGGAAAAATCTGAAAGAAAAAGTTCATGAACGAAATTTCAAGAAATCAGAGAACTTTTTGCTTCGAGCAGAAGTAGCAGAACTGAAAGCTATTATTACCAAACTATCTTGTACTAAGCGAATGTTCACAGAAACTCCAGCAACTGTTGATGCTTTTAAAATACTTAATACCAGTTTAGATGAAAAAATTGCCTATGTCTCTGAAGAGATTACGGAAAAAATAGAGCAGAAAAAAGCATATGATACCTTAAGTAGTACAGAATATGATGAAATATTAAGAAAATATTTGGAAATTTCTCATGTCATTAAAAAGAAGAAATGTTTATTAGATCAATTATAAATAGCATTAAAGACTGTACTGTACATTCTGAAAGTTCTACAAAATGATTTTATTTATGTAAGTAATTTTAAACTAACTTTTACATTTTTAATACAGAAAGTAAAGATAATGGCGTATTAAATGATTATTTTATAAAAAAATGAACTAGAGCTTAAATAGATTTAAGTCAGTCATAAATATTAGAAAAGTGTATTATATAAAAAAAATTTTAATTATTGATTTCATAATAAAAGAAATCTCTATTTCTTAGCCACTTAATAATTGTTTTAATTTGTTTAGTTTTTTTCTTTAATTCATAATTGTGCTGATTAGAAGATAGATAAAGAATAGTTTTCCCATAAGAATTGATAAAAAATATTAAAGTACAGTATTAAAATACAATATTAAAAGTAATTAAATTGATGTGATTAGGATTTTCCGCATTTATGCCTTAATTCAAAATTCAAAATGGATCATAAAGAATCTGATAATTTAATCTATTTAATTTATTTACATTTTTATGTGTGAATATAAAATAGAATATTTACAAATTAAAATACTATTATTTGATCACTTTGGTGTATAATTTTTCACTAAGTAGACTTTAGAGGTTCAGAAGGTTTGTAACCTGTCCACTTTCGATAAGTTCTATTCATTGAATTTTCAACAAGCAAATCTATTGGATGAATTATTAAAGGTATCGAAGCAAGTCCTATCATAGTCGAGATCCAAGGACTTCGTAACATAGCTTTGTTAGATTTTTTTTGTATATATCTAACAGTAGCGCACAATCTATTGATTGTTATTCCTGGAATAATGACACTTGCAAACCCTTGCCACAATAAGGTGTCAGAAGTTGAAAGCAGCAATTGTTTTATTTTGTTAGATGAATTATCTTCCTAAAAATAATATATTTAGAATTCAATAAATACTGCTTTGAATAAAATTTGTCTTATAGTGTAGTATATATACATTATAGACATGTATCCCTTTATGAATCGTATCCGCAAAGACATATCCACATGCAGCAACATAACTTGACCACACTACAGATTTAGGAACAATACTTCGAAATGCTTCTCCAACTTCATTAGTATAGCCTATACATCACATAAATAGTGGATAAAAACTCAGTAGGTGTTTGTTAAAATTAAAGTAGTTACACTGTCATTCATTTTTAATTAAGCATGCAATGTTAAAGCACCGTCAGTCTATGATACAAAAGAATTCATGTAGCTTATTACCTAGATATCTTATGTACGTATCTCGAAAAATATCGATTTCAGGTTGTTTAACGTCAGTCATCATGTCGATATTTATTTTCAAATACTTAGTGCGTATCATAAAATCACGTCACTACGTTCAGTGTTCGATTTCGATCCACGTGTGATTTAATATTTAATGTTTGAGTTTTTGCACATACAATGGAGCAACTAATGAGGTCACTATACACTATGAGTATAGGTATCGTGACATCAATACATCACCAAACAATTCCCATGACAATTATGGTTTCAACCACGAACTAGACATTACAAAAGATGATACAATTGAATTTAAAAAGTATGTATAACATTGTAACTATTGTTATTATCAATGTAACAATATTTTATTGACATGAATTATCATTTTTCCAACTATTAAATTCATATTTATTATAAAGAGGAACAAGAATAGTAGCTTTATTTGTTAAATTCAAAACAGGTTACAGTATATCATATCAGTAACAATCTGTCAAAAAAACTAAAAATTTAAAAAAACCAACCAAACTAAAAAAGTAGCAAACTGCTTAGCAGTGCAATTGTTCTTTGCTTAACAATTAAGCAACACACAGCAATATATATATTTACAATGTTTTTATGTTAAATTCATTATGTCTGGATTGCATAAAAATTTCAAAATTATACATTTAAGTAACTCAATATTTAAGAACAATGCGTGAAACATCCATACTTGTGTGTATTTACATAATCTAGTATTTGTAATTTGTTTCAATTTACAAGACAAAGTTGTAAAAAAAATTTTCCAACCATGCTTATTCAATTGATATGTCAAGAAAGTGATAGTTTATAAATAATTATTCTACCAAAAAAATCTGTACTACTATCAAAAATTATTTTAAATGCACTAGCTTTTTTGCTAAAATCTAAATTAAAAGTTTGAAGCAAATTTATATCTTCTGGAAAAATGTCTTGAATATAATCTAAATTCTTCAAATCTGAACCAGCTTCTATCCAGCATTTTTTCCCAGCAAATCCTCCTTGAAATTGAATTTTTATGCAAGACAATTCTACTTCTTGATCAAATTTTATGAATACCCATTGTGGACTTCCCTAAAAATAATATTAATAATTATAAGAATGTAATATTTATATGAAATGATAATTTTATAAAATAATCACAATTACAGAGTCAGAATTCCAACATGTTTCACTTTCATCGTCAAACATAAATTGTTTTCCATAAGATTTCACGTTTTTATTTAATACAGAACTCACTCTAAAAGCAAAAAATTCAAAACCTTAAATTACAAGTAAAAAGTGTAATTGTTATATATACAGAAATTGAATACTACGTTGGTTAGATTTTTCTTATTAACACAGATGCATCAGATACATTTCGACAGTACTCACCGGCATTCGAATTTTTGTTTGGCTAATTGACACGCCATCGTGTGTTATTTTGGAATAATACTTCTGATATTCAATGAATGACGTATTATGCATATATATAATTGGAAATTGGAATTTTGTTTTTTTGACTCCTTACCGTGAGCCACGATTCACTGATCTTTATCGTAATTATGGTTTTTCTACAATTACTAGCAATTTACAAAAAATTAGAACCAATAACCTATAAATATATTACAAAGGGTAAAAAGTTGTTGAATTAAATAAATGTCGTATAAATTTAAAGTTTAAAAAACTATACTTTAAATTAAAATCACCTCGAGTTTCACTACTATCTACTGAAGAATAAAAAACATTAATAACCACGTATCATGTTTTTGTTTACATTTGCAATTGTTATTGCAATATATGCGACTACAAGCACCGTGCCGCGTGCATCGCTTAGGCCCCGGTCCAATGGATGCGGACGGATACGGACGCGAATCGCAACTGCAGTAACATCACTAAAAATATCTAGTTCGATTATTTAGTACCAACACTACCGGTAGTGAGTAAAAGTGACTGTTGTTTAAAACTATAGCGCCGAACGTACCACATTTAATGTTCAAATGTCAGGTCTACAATTTACTTTTCAAATTCTCATAAATATTGCTTATTGATGAGTATGCTAATGTAAAAAAAGTTTTTGGGATGATTAATACATATCATTTATATAAATTTTTTTCTTCTTCTTCTCGTATATTCAAGTACTTCCATAAAATTAAGGACTAATTCCACTAATTGTAGTTGAAAGTCTATCAATTCTCTATCATTTGCCATCTTATAGACTGCAATAATGTAAAGGTTAGATAGGCGTTCATTAAATGTGGTATGTATGTACCTATGGGACCGGGGCCTTAGCAGTTATATGCAAAATGCAGCATCTCTCGCAACGGCAGCGCTGCCAAGTGACTGGACGGCTAAACACACTTGACAGAGGTCTGTGCCAGTGGGTACTTTTTATGAAAATATTTATTTAATTATATATTTTTCGCTATACTTATTATATCAATTAAATAGTAAGGTCATATATATAACATCATTAACAATTGCTTAAAGCTTATGTTAACTTTTGTATGTTTCATTCATATGTATGTTTTAATTAACATTTTAATAATTAAATTGCTTTATAAGAATATTTACAGTAAAGATTGAAATAGTTATTTAAACAGCAATTTTTGTACATAATTTTTGACTACCGGTTGCCAACAACACGGATCTCCACTATGACCCTACCACCCTTATAGCGACGTGTCTAGCCAGGTGACTCGTTTCTGGTATAGCTACTGTAACCCTGACAATTTCCTAAATTATTTAATTCGTAAATTCAAACAAATAGAGAAGCTTAAGAATAACATTTAAAACCAAAGAAATTTCAATTGATTATTTATACTGATGCCCGCTGTATGCTGGATTGTCACCCCCAGGTTTAGGCTACGTACGGAGAGAAAGCCAGATTAAAACAAGTTCTGTGATTTGATACTGTGTTATATGTGATATGTAGTGCTTAAAATATCATTAGTGCATTAATAGACACGTTAATGTAAGAAATAGGGCATCATTGAAATAGAAATGTAACGATTACGATGCCGGGAAAGTGGACTTTATCCATCCAATTAGAGTAGTACCCGTCTTAGCAATGGAACGCTAAAATACACAGCAGTCGGCGTTCACTTTAATAGTTGTGCCGGATCCATTACGAGCCTAGCCGTATGATGAGGGAAAAAACTCCGATTTCAAGCATACATTAGTGTCGAGACATTTTTAAAATGTTGAAAAAATTACTTCACACTATAGTAGCCAGCTGTGCTTCCAATTTCGTTGGTTTCTTAGCACCATTGGTCATTCCACCCCTACACATTATGTCCATTTATCGTTTTTGGAAAGGTTTTGCAAGAGAAGTAGACAAGCAATATTGCTCATGTTCTTGTTGGGACACGGTCTTCAAAGGTATGCTTTTATACATTGCTTGTTTCTCTTATTTTTAAAACACAAATTCTTTTTAATACCCGCTGTTTCTTCTCCTTTTTTTTCAAACATTTTATTTTAGTAGTAATAATTTTCAAAAATTGCACACTCTATAAGTTTTAATAAAAAACCTCCTTGAAATTTATAATAAAAATATTTTTTATTTTACGAAATGACTATCGCTAAAAATAGTATAAGGTTTTTATATTAAAAACAAAGTAAAATACACATGTGATTATATTTTTTTCGGTTGTAGCGATCAACCAACAAAACGTATTTAATATTTTTTAAATACATGATCTTTTTAATAATAGATATACGAATTATAGTTTGTTTTTCGTTGCACAAAATTAATAATTATGTTAATCTTTTCTGTACGCAGGATCCTACGAGTCCGGTATTGCTTCGTATAAACATATGTATTTCAATGCCACGACAAATATGCTGAAGATCTGGGCAATAGCGGTCTTTGGAATTATTATTTTTTACGAGACTGTTAAGCATTTAACGTGGTTAGCATTTCATAAGAGACTTCGATGGAAAATGTTTGTACTTTTTGTGAGTGCATTTTTTTCTCATTATTACTCCTGGTGGGTTTACATCAACTATTGGAACGACGAATTTTACTCTCAATGGTATCATCAGTTATTTTTTTCCGTAACTGAGATAATATCTACAATATTGGTTATTCATTTGGCCGACGAAAGTAATCCCGTGAAACGCAGGCAAGCTTTTGCAATAGTCAGTATTGCTCTTTTACATATTTTTGCTGGTGGATTAGATCAATTTGTCACGAATGTTGTCAGAGGCGAAGGCTACTCACATCAGGTAAATATTCATAATTTTTTATGTCTATTGTCGTTTAACGCGTTCACTACTTTTCTAAGTCACCTTGCATACAATCAATTATCATTTATTTATTTATTTATATAGATATGTCAAATAATTTAAAAAGTCTCAAATGAATATTGTCATAAGATGACCATATATAGGGTATGTGATTTCTGAGGTAAGATCCATATCGGGAACAAGCCTCGGGACAAGAGACCAGTGGAGGGGGGTCATTGCATTTAAAATAAATTTTGATATTTACAGTCTTTTAATTCACTTATATATACTTACTTTTGACTAACTATTTCTGATCTGTTGCAGGTTGTTCGAGATCTTGGTTTTATGATTCCCGACATACTTCATGTAATTATTCCATTATGTTCATTGGAATTTAAGAGTTCTCGGCTCTTACCTGGAACTAGCTTCCGAGATCCATATCTTAAACTAGATATTTTCTATCTGATTAGTTCAGTAATTTTTGGTCTTTGTTTGTATTCAGTTTTATGATTGAGTAACTTTTCGATTGTATCACAAAAAATTTACTTTCAATAATGTAATCAAGTGCTTTGTTTTCATTTCATTACTTTAAACATCTTAACTGATGCGACTTTCAATTCGTGAACGAATTAACAACATGATAAATTTTCAAGCGAGTTATACTATTGTTAAATATAATTACTTATTTATTTTTGCAGACTATTTGATTTTTTCCAAGTTTTCGGAATGGAATTCCATTATATAGATTTTTGGAGCTTTATTAAGTCATGATGTCATGGAGGACAAGCTTAATTGCAAACTTTGCCAAAACCTTGTACATACGTATAAAACATATCGATTATCAGTTAAGGTGTTTAATAGTTACTTAAATTGCGTAATCTGCTTAGAGATTGAAACCATCAAAAAACGATAACAACATAAGCGCATAATAATAGAAAATCAAATCACTTCCGGAATCCCGAATTCCTTAGTTACATTAGCATATTATGAACATTACAAAACCATTTAGATATCTTAAACTTAGATTAATATTGACAAATAAAATTAACAATGTAGAATCAATGTCTTTCTATATTCTAGATGAATACATATTCAGATATTTTTTCAATCTGTTCTTACGATGAAAAAATCGCAGTAATGGATAAGATAATTTCCTGAAATTGTCTTGTTTTCAATATGTCTTTACCCTTCTATTTTGATATATAATCTCTAACACTAATCCATGAACCGGATTAAAGAGTTGGATAATTTTAATTAGATGCTCTGCATGTGAAGCGTAATATTTTTCTTATACGATGCTTATTATCATTTTTATGATGATGTGTTTTGATTTCCAGTTTTTTTTATTATTTATTTCTCTATACTCTTGTTAAGTTTTCAAATGATTTGCAATAACTTTTATAATCAAATTCATACGAAATTCTCTTTAATTTCATCGAAGGCCTAATGCGTTTTAATAAATACGAAAATAATAGTAAGAAATCATGTTCACTTAAACATTTTTCTATAAGTACAACTGCGCAGAATCAAAGTAATATATACATATTCGTTATCACATCAGTAAAATAAATATCATTTTAAATTCTAATGAAATGTCTACATAAATGCAATGATTTTACATGCTATATAGACTGATATGATAAATTCATAAGAATTCAAAGTACACTTTTAATAATACATTTTCAATTATTTGTATATAAAGTTTAAATATACAATATTGTTAATGAAAAAGTACAACAAATGGATTTTACTTTGAATCAATAAAAAGTATAAACAAAATCAAATCTAACGATTTTTATTGACAGATTACTATGCAAGTATGGAAAAGTGATTTTTTTCTTGTGTGAAATGAACGTTAATGTAAAACAGGATTAGAATCTCTTAATCGTGCATCGTACTGAATATTTTAATGCGATGCCTTTCACGCAATTTATATACTCTCCATGCACTATTAAGAAAATTATTTATAAGAAATAATTTTTAATTATTGTAGATATTGTTGACTTAATAAACAATTATTTGTATATAAATTTAAAAGCAATTACATTCACTAACTTATCAGCTTGTATATTGGCTACAATTTGATTACAAAGAAAAGTTATATGTTTTGCATGTGACCTGGATAGCTACTTGAACAAAACTATTTTTTTAAACAATAATTCTTTATTTTTTAATATTCCTTACATACTATCTTATATATTAAATTTATTCTACTTGCACATACTCAGTATTGAAGGAGCTCGTGCCTAGATGTTTCATAAATGTTAGAAAAAATCTATAATGAGGTCTGTACACTGCTTGTCAATCTTTGTTATCTTTTAATATCCTAATAAGTCTTGAGTAATTATTGAAAGTGCTAATCAATTCGTTCACTATCTTAGGATATTTCTTAGGGAACTTTAGTTATGGTATTTCATTAAGTACTGCTAAAGAGCATAATAAGTTCAGCAAATATTTATTATGCATCGCTTAAGATATTCTTACAAGCATGAATGTTATTTTTTTTTAAGATTAACAAATATAAAGAGAAATTAATTTTTATTCTGCTCATATTGACTTATTAACCTGAGAGCTTTCAGGTTAGGAACAAATAGACTCACCTATCAAACTTACTTACTCACATAAACTGCATTGAACAAATGATTGGAATGAGATAATTTATCGAAAATCTAATTGTACTTGCCATATCAACAAATTTTTATGAAAATGCACCATAATTTGATTTATTTGTAGGTATAATTGTTTTCGTAACAAATGCAACCACATTATGTAAACATAATAATTAAGGCGCGATCGCAAATAGCGTCACAATTCGACAAATGCTCCCATGTGAGAGCAGCTTTACAGAGATTTATCTTCTCTCTTCTATTCACGTTTTAGTATACTTATATCTTCTGAGGGTACTTTTATATAATCGACCACTTGCTCTCTACTTTATGTTAGAAAAATAATTGCACAATCTATAGTATTCATTGCCGTGACAACGACAATCAAATTATTCAATTGCGCTGCTTGTATTTCATGCATTTTGTCAATTCTTATTAATAATATGATAAAAATCTTATATAACCACAATTTTTCATTACGGAACAAGTGCGCAAAGCAGTCATCAGGCTCATCATTGTAGAAGCAGCTTGCGAGTTCACGAGAGTCTCTCTGCACACGCGTGGTGACTCGTGAGAGGGCTATACCTATCTGATTGCGCTTTTCTCTTTTTCCTTGCTGTTCTCACAGCGTGTAGCAGGCAAAAGTTTTTCCGAATCTTCTGAGGAAAAATTAAGAGATCGGTGATAACCGTGATAAGCAGGAAAATACGAGACAACCTAATCGGTTTATATGGCTACCATCACCGAGGAACCGTCCGAGCAATTGGACAGCGGCATGGGTAGCAGCGATGCTCGATCACCCGAAATCAAGTCTTTACTACCAGACGACGATGAGGAAGACGATGAGGTTTGATTTTCTAGTTGTTTTATTCATTTTTCCAATGATGTTATTACATCAGATCTAAGCTATTTCTCTTTTCAATAAACTTATTTTTTTAAGTTATTGAATATTACTTTGATAGATTGGAGATGACCTGTTATAATTATCTGATTTTACAATTTTATTAATGAAAGTTTGGTTGATAATTGACTCATGCTGTTAAATTTGTTATCATTAAAATGAGTGTCTTTGAATTTATTAAAGACAATGATTCATTAAATTTTTATAGTACTTATTATTTCAAATTTTTTTATTACCGTATATTAATATAATAGTAAATGAAAATCTAGTCAAGTCTGAATGTTTCTTTGTAGGATGAAACCATTATTGAGAGATTAGTTGGGCTTACAGAAATGTTCCCGCAACCAGTGAGGAATATGACCTATAATACAGCCATTGGCGTTAAGAAATGTATGAAAGGTGAGTTGTAATGAAACGGTATTGTTTTAACTAAAACCTAATTTTTCAAATATCTTCAGGTTCCCTAATTATGTAATTTAATTTTTATAGGTTTATATTCTCTTTCTTGCACTGCAACATGGTTATTCTTCAGTTCTTCTGCCATCTTATTTGCACCATTGATTTTTGAAATTGAACGTGCGCAAATGGAAGAAGCACAGCGTAACCAACAGAAACAAGTCTTACTTGGACCAAGTTCAGCCATGTCAGGACCCCCTGGTCCTGGTGGTTTTCCTATGGCTCCACCCATTCAAAGATAATTTTTAAACTGAAGCATTTACAAGCAACAATATAAAGTTGTCTTGCAACATTATTGCATTGTCAAATTAAGCATTAACTCAATATTCACAAATGTCTTACAACAGATACTATCATGTGAATCTAGAGTACCTTTAAAGTGTTTTAGTAATAAAAATCTGTTATTAGTGCTGAGTTTTTAAATTGTGTAAAATATAGTAGTAATCATTAATCACCAAAAATCATAGTGTTATGCCTATTACATATATGAAACATTACTGAAGTTTGTGAAAACACATTGACTGAAGTTATCAGCTTTGTAAATTTTTTGCACATACATACTATCCCATTATTGCATTGTCCAATTGAACAAGTTTCCTTCAAGTATCTGTTTCTATTATTTTATTTACAGACATGACAATTATCGTCCATAGATATACTTGTAATCTAACAAAATTTAACACTTCGTGTACACATGTTAAGATTGCATTATTTTGCATAGTTAAATAATTTTGTATATCATTTGATGTTAAAACTTATTACGAGTAACAATAAAAAGTATAAAAGGGATATGGAATTTTAATTGCATATTTAAAAATACTTAAATATATTTCTTTCTCTCTGAAACAGCGACTTTTTACATGTTTTCAGTTCAATAGCGAACTAATAACGACAAGAAATTCGAAAATTCATTACATTCTTTAAATAATAGAGTAACTACTTATTAAAATGGATCAGGTTTCAATTTTGTTAGTCTGACTTGTTTGATTCAATCAATCCTTGACTGATTTATCAAGCTTTAAAAAACCGTACAACTCTTACAACATACTGTCTACATATTGGACATTCTGACATTTGTTTTCCACAATTAATACAACATGCCATGTGACCACATTCTAAAATTACACACTCTATTGGGGCATCTAAGCAAATTTTACAAAGTACATCTTCATCTGCAGTTTCAATTCCTGAAAGAAATACCATTTTATTATGAATCTTAAAAAGATTTTAAAGCAAAAATATATATTAATCATTGCAAAAATGTTATTTTCGTAAATTACAGTGTTGTCATAGTACCTGTTCTAGATCTTTGATATTCTTCCCACAATCTGCTTGCTCTAGCCAATAATTCACATCTTTCAACGCAACCTTTGTAATCTACTCTATTTGCACTTAATAAATCTTTAAGTTGTTTTACAGTTAATGATTCTAACACTGCAGCTTCCTTTATATCTGCTAGTTTTACAATGCCAGTCCACTATAAAAATAAGATAACTTTAGTAGAGATCTCATTTGTTTATTTAAGGGGACCAGAGGGTGTTGCGTAGTGAAAAATTAACACTTTGTTTATTGCCGCGTAGAAATCATTCTACTGAAGATATCGATGTAGGACTTTTTTCAGCTGAAAGTATTCTATATAAGCTTTCATTTTCTTTGTTATAAGTTCCAGAATAATCATTGTACACCTAATATGGACACAACAAAGACCAAGCTCTATTTTTCAAAAAATGGGGCTTTGCCACGCCTTTCTGAACGCCAGAGTGGACAAAAATCGTTTTGTGAGAGCTCATTTTTTTTGTTATGAACCGGACTACAGAATGAGCGGAGCACTTTTCTAAAAAAGATAATTCTTCCTATTTTTTGAGGATAATTTGCAAAAAAAATTTTTTTGAAAAATTAAAATTTCATATATTGGCTCAAAAAAATAGGAAGAATTATCTTTTTTATAAAAGTGCTCCGCTCATTCTGTAGTCCGGTTCATAACAAAAAAAATGAGCTCTCACAAAACGATTTTTGTCCACTCTGGCGTTCAGAAAGGCGTGGCAAAGCCCCATTTTTTGAAAAATAGAGCTTGGTCTTTGTTGTGTCCATATTAGGTGTACAATGATTATTCTGGAACTTATAACAAAGAAAATGAAAGCTTATATAGAATACTTTCAGCTGAAAAAAGTCCTACATCGATATCTTCAGTAGAATGATTTCTACGCGGCAATAAACAAAGTGTTAATTTTTCACTACGAAACACCCTCTGGTCCCCTTAAGCTAAACATGAAATAAATCAATGAAATACCGTATGTATTTCTGTGAACATTTCAGTGTGCTCTACTGGAGGCATTTCTTGAACTTCCTCTTGTTCAGTTATCACAGGTTCAGGTCCTCCATTTACATTGTCATCATTTTCCAACACTTCTATAATTTCTACATTATGTTCAACACTAACTGCTGATGCTTCTTGAACTTCTTCAGGAGTAGTTACTTCGCTAACTTCTGGTGGTCTATCAATAACTTGAGGACTTCTAGACCTACGAGTAGGTGAGTCATTGAGAATTGTAGCCTGATTTGATTCCCTGAATATAAAGAAAATAACATTAAAAAATTGAAAATAACTATAAAAATGGAAAATCAGCTCATTGCTTATATATACAGCTCATTATTAGATTCTGTTCCACTGTTTTGAAGAGTATTTTCATCCTGGTTTTGTGGTGCTGATTCCATTGGGTTTATTGTTTGCTGATTATGTGATATTGGGTCTGTTCTATTTTCTCTTGGTGGATTATGCGGTGTATTTTCCAGTCTTTCGTTTGATCTTGGATCAGTTCCATTAGCGAAAATAATTAGTAGGTTTACTAAGTCTTCTTTTTCTGAAATATTGAAACAGATTTTTAATGAATTCTTGTGCTAAAATGTTATAATTATATTTGTTATAATGATAATAATTCAATCTATGTACATACCTATACATCCTCTAATAGACACTTTTTTTGCTATGAGATATTGTCTTAGATATTTAGAACTCATTTTGAGTACCTGACTTTTGATAAGGGGCCTTCGAGAAAGCATACTGCAATTGTCACAGCTCAATATTCTGTCAAACCTTCTTATGACACATTCTGTACAAAAATATCGCAAACAATCCATGCATTGTTTCTGAAAGTGATTAATACATTAATAGTTATAACAGTTAAATTGGACTACAACAGACTGACTTGATAATACAAATTTGAAAAGCATTTCAATAGATAACTAAATCATTTAAACACTCACTTTTCTTTTGAAAATTGTAAACTTGATAGCACAAGCCTCACAAGCCATCTCGACATGAATATTCAAGTAATAAAATCGGAATATTCCAAATAATTGTCTGCATCGAGGTTAGCTTGCGGGTAAACGGTAATTTGGAATGTTTTTCATCTGATTGTTTGTATGGCTTTTCCACACACAACTAAGCGTAAATCCCGAAGAGGTTGCAATCGAAGCTCGATCAGCGAAATCGAATCGACAAAATCCAGAGAATTCTCCGTAGCGTGTTATTGCAGATAATGAGCTACAATACTGCAGTCATAACTTTCTAAGTTATCACAGACTGATTGATTTGTGAGGAACGTCACATTAAACTGAAATTGAAGATGACGACACTTCACTGATAAAATTTCGTAGGTATACACAGACAACTCTCACGGTCGCGGTCGCTCTTGAATTGTTATTACGATCCATACATATAGTCTTTTTTTTCACCTGCCTTAGCTTTTATCTCGACGAGATCACTCCCTATAATTTCTCCCGTTATATACCGTACGTAAAATTTGTGTTCACCACATTCAAGGACCACTCAATTCGATCTATTTAGTAACCGCTTGCATTTAGATTGATTCTCGTGTAAATATTATTTAATAATAATCATTGTTCTAGTCGTCTTGTCTTTGTAATGCAACGTCTTACACATAGATACAGCGTGAAAGTGATGAATGCATTCGGTGGTTTTCTGATATACATGTATACGCTTGTTTCATGCATTTGATGCGCGCACATGCGCAAGGAAAATTACATCCGTATTGTAAAAAACGCTTCTGAAGTGTACATCTCGCATTAGAGAATAAGTAGATTAAATTTAAATTTAATGCAATAATTTATACAACAATTTTTCTTCTAAACTTATCATTTCATCTATAATTATATACTTTACGAATGAAATAATTTAATTGTATGAAAAAACCAATTGAAAATAGATTCAAATACTAAAATACTACTATTTATATTATTTTATAACTACTATTTATTATTGGTAAAGGTTATTAAAAATATGAAGGTTAAAATAATGAAATCAGTGGCTGTGAATAACAAATGATTTATTATAAATAGATTTTAATTTTGAATGCTGAATAAATAATATATAGAAATTAATATTTCCTTCTTTTAATGATATCTGGTTTCCAGCTGATAGGATGAGTTTCCTCCGAAGCAGAATCATCTTCTTTGTACATCTTTACAGTTTTATCAGCTTCTGTTGTTATCATTCTAGTACCTGACATATCAAACGTTATACTGAATATGCCAGCTTCTGAGTCCATAGATCCAGGCTGAACTGGAGCTTGCAATCGTTGGAAATTATATCCTGTTCTCCAATCCCAGCAATACATACTTCCATTGTCTGCTCCAGAAACTAGCACACCATCTTCATTGGCAGCTAAACAATTTATAATGGCATTGTGACCAGAGAGATTCTGTATAAATTTACCATCTTCACTCTTCCATTGTTTAATATTATCTGGTGAAGCAGAAGCAAATGTATTTAGCGTAGGATGCAATACTACTGCTCTCACACTCTTTTTGTGGTTTGTTAGTGTAACTCTAGATTTTCCTGCTGCCAAGTCCCATAGTCTTATCGTACTGTCATGACTACCAGTAATAATTTGAGGATCATATACTTGGCAAACCACACTTGCCACTGTATTTGAATGACCAGTCAAAGTATGTACATTAGCTTTGGAACGCATATCCCAAACTCTAGCTGTGCAATCTCTACCAGATGTCACTAAAACATCTATAGTTGGATGTAGAGCCATTGAATATACTGCTGACAAGTGTCCATGGTAATGTCTAATTACTTTATTATATTCAAGATCCCAACACTTAACTTGTCGATCCTCACCACAAGAAAAAAGATATGGATGTCTTTGAGAGAATGCCAGTCCTCTTACACTACTGATATGTCCAGTCAAGGAAATTTTTAGCTTGCCTGAGGCAAGATCCCAAATTTTAATCACGCGATCTGCTGAGCCAGTTGCAAAAAACTCATTTCCAGGTTCTACTGCACAACAACGCACCCAACCAAGATGTCCACTGATTACTCTGTACAGTTTCCATGGTGCATGCCACTTTGGTTTAGCCATAGGCAATGGCTTTTTCACAGGATTCACAGGAGTAATGGTTTGTACAGCATTACTTTCTTGAACTGGAACAACAGACATTGATCCACTGTAATTGTCAGAGCTCTGTGTGTCATCCTCAATAGCAGATAGGTGTTCGTCATTGATCTTCTTTTTCTTTAATTCATTTAAGTTGACAGCGCTTAAAACAGTACCGTATGTATCTTTGGCCTTAATGGACATTTTAAATTTTTCAATCTCAGAATCGATTGGAGGCAAAATTCCTTGGTTTGTCAGAAAATTATCATGGGTCCTCTTTAATGAGCGAAACACTAAAGTGTGAACCGAGTGACGTTGTACATCCATTTTCAGAAAATTCTTTTTAAAACTCGGACGTAAAAATTAGTAATTATTCTTTAGACTTAAAGCTTATAAGTAAATTTCATTAATAAATTGTTTGAAATAGTTTGTTTGTTGAACTAGGTTAGAAAGCAGAATGATTCTTTTCATAACACGTGTCCAATGCAAACTAAAATTTATAAGTAAACTATAAATGAGCTCGAAAAGAGTAGTTCTTCGAGTTTTTTATACTACACGTCACATATTTCCATCAATATTGCCGATAACAATGCGATTGCAAAAAACTGCTAGTTAGGCAGGTAGCACACGTAAACTATGGTAAACGTAACCGCATGGTGGCGCTGTCAATTCACGGCACCCGAGTATGAATGACTGTTTATGTACCGAAGTAAAAGTCAAAAAGTGTTTTCAGAAAAACTCTGCGTCATTTATCTCTTGCACCTAATGATTGCACTATGATTTCGTTGTAGATCTGAGAACTTGGATGTAATTTTTAGAATTTTAATGAAGCGAGTATTTTTACTTTGAAATAATTGAATTATTGGACTAACTCTATTCATTATAACGGCTCCGCTAGGTGGTTTGTATTTTTCTCGAATGAAGTTTACACCCTACATTAATATTATTAATATTAACGGATTTTTTCATTAAATTTTTTTAATTAATTTTATTGTTACGTCATGAACATTAATTTTATTGATGTAAATGGATTTTTTTTGTCAATTCATCATAATGAATACCAGATATTTATAAATACCGTTGCTTAATGTTTGTATTTAAAAATCACTGCTTGAACATTGGTTATGACAGATGATAATACGACTTTCACTGACGCTCAGTTCATGAATAATTGATGGTGTCGAAAAGATGTAAGCAATTCTAGCGTCAAAAGTGTAAATAATATTAGTAATTACTTATCTGCTTCTGCAACTAATCAAAAGATCTAGGATTTATCATGTATAAATACCACATTCAAAAAGTGAAATGTCGCTACCTATTATATTCCCGATTATGTATCAGTAGATTTATACCGAAACACACTTTTATTGAGCTCATTTTCTACGTAGACAAATTCATAATAAAATTCTTGTACCCAAGACAAGTGTATAACTCGAACTTGATATCAGCTTCAAAAATCTTTATAAAAACGAATAATTGCATAATTGATGTTCTAGAGACAGACTGCGAATTTACAACCATTATTTGTTTAAATTCAGAGTGCTATTAAAACAAATAAAAGATATTACTCAAATTGTACTGGAATTAGTGTTGGTCAAGCCTATCAAACTAATGGCATTAACTCCCCTGTATTTATTCGCATCTCTATTTTCCTAATATTGTTAGAGAATTATGATATAACTTGAAAGTAAAATTTTACTGATTCAATCAGGCTAGCAAATTTTATTCATTAACCATTTCGATTATTACGATTCACGGTTGAGGTGCTACAAGAAACTTTCATTGTATCTGAACAACTGATTTATTTTTCAATCGATGACTATGATATAAAACTGCAGAGTAATAAATTAAATAAATGTACATTCTAATTCCATCATGATTTCTGTATCTTTTCGAAAAATGCGAAAACATTTAACAATTTTGAAATATGTCATATCGAGGAACATGAATTATTCGCTTAGGTTATAACGTATAAAATGCCTAATAGTGCTACTTGAATTTAACTATCGAGTAATATATTATTAGTTCGTGCAATTTGAAACAATTGCATTATTTCAACAAAACATAATCCACTCTTTGGAGCTAAAAAAAACAAAGTAACCATTATACACTTTGCTATAACTGATAAATGCCATTGCATAGACGCACGCGTATTTTATGGCATTTTCACGTTATCGTAAAAATTATTTTTGAATCTGCTTCGAGATCCTTTTTCTTTCAAAGTCAAGCGAAAAATGAACGCTAGAACAGATTTACTCCCGTTTTACACATCTCTTGATATGTAAAAAAAGACTGATCGACATCGATAGACTGTACACGTACCGACGCTTCTTTTTTCTCTCATTGATGTGTAAATCGTATGTTAACAAAGCAAAATCTCGCGTATTTTTTCATTATGATTATTTCACATGAAAAACAATTGGATCTCACGTAAAGATATATCAAACTGTTTATGTAAAATCGGAGTTGGTTGGTTTTCCTAATAACGTAAAGCAATAACAACAACGCTCGGTCGAGGCATCATATTCATCGAAAAGAAAATATAAGGCGATCGATATCGAAGCGCGCGCAATCACTGAAAAATCACGTCGACGAAATAAGCGCTTAACGCATAGCTTCGCTGTACCTATCCCGAACAGCCCGTACTCTCTCGAAAAAGAAATGCATTAAACCTCGTCATTTATACTGTTCGCTCGTTCGCCTCTTTTTCACACACCATAACTATCGTGCGCTTACATTTATACAAAATAAGCGTTTGCGCAAATCAGCGTTCACCATTCAAGCACGCTACATTGTGTTTTTCGATAGGAATAAAAAAGTCACGGCATTACAGGCTCTATGTACAATGCGCCACGAAAATACGAGAGAGGAATGAAGGGAAGGATCCTCGGCAATTAGGATAACGAGATTACGTTCGAGCCGCGCGATCACAGTTCAGTAACCCTTGCGCATATCTACTTAGCGCATAGCGTTCTACCGACCGGACACGACTGCTGCACGCACGAACAAACCAAGAGAAGAGGCTGCGCAATCTCGCTCGAGATGCGACGACGATACGAGACCTGCATACACGCTCGCTCGACGCGCAGAGCCTTGAGAATCGCCACGGTCACCGGAGCGCGCCGACGCGGCGAGCGAGTCGTCGAGCAGCCGGGCACCCGCGCGGCGAGCTCGCCACTACTTTTGTCAAGAGGAAACGGAGACGTCGAACCCGACGAGCGCCCGAGCTGACTAGACGAACGGACAAGACGGAGGGGGCCGCGAGCTTCGGCTCAGGCGGCTCCGGAAGCGATGGTCATGTTGAGACAGAGCTCGTGGTCGCGCACGTCGCCCCAGCCGCCGTTGCCCTTGCGCAGCTTCGTCTTCTTCGAGACCGAGGCGACGGTGAGGCTGAGCTGCGACGGGTACAGGCTGCTGCGTGCCGATCTCAGCACGTTCTGCACCTTCGCTATCACCGTCGTCGACTCGCAGTTGGCCTTCTTGTGGTGGACGCCGCTGAAATGTTCCGTTTCGGTTTGGTATCGGCGCCTAGTGTCGCGCGCGCTCAAGCGGATCCAGGCGACGGTCGCACGACTCGCTCTGCAGCCAATTCGGGCCGCCGGCGAAGCAACGATCCGCTCGAGCGAACGCGAGCGCGAAAGGGGCTGACAGTTACCATTCGCCAATGTGAAAAACGCGGGGCGCCCGCATCATCATGGTGATTAGGCCGGAGTCGAGCCGAGGCAGTATGCCGGCCCCGCGACTCGGCGAAAGACAGCTCTGAGCGATGTGCTGCAGACTCCAGTCCCAGTTGTAGTCGTCGTACGAGCAGAACTGCGCCGCGCACTTGCGTATCTTGCTCCAGGTAGCTCGATTGAAGGCCATCCCCATGTTGTGCTTGCTCGAGATCCATGGTATCACCTCCGCCTGTCGGTTTTCAAGCAATGCTCCCATTAGTTCTCGCTTTCATTTCTATTTTGTGAAAAGGTGCATATCTTACTTCCTTTTTTTTTTCATTTCGAATTATCGAGAACGTCATTGGATCTCTTTAAGATCGTTTTCACTTGTCGATTGACACTTCTCGAAATGCTATTCTGACAGTTATAAAACATGCACCTTTTCTTTATCGGGCTACTCTAATATTTTGAAAGTACTAAATTAATTAACAGAATTATTATGGTTTCGTAATTTACTGACGCGACATTCAATTTCACGTGATTATCGTCAATCGATAATCTAATTCAGCATACATGTAAATTGCTACTATTAACGAGGTAATTTATATGTAACATATACACGATCGGTCACACCTTGATTGTTGTTATGAAAAAACCGACACCAGACATATATTATACTTAAAACGGAACATGAAAACAAAGTCATGCAGAAATCGATTTCAGTTTTTACAACGGAGACAAATTACGAGACACGTGGGAATACTATCGGACATCAGCAATCTGACGTGTGGATGGATCTCCCAGTTCTTTCGCTACGAACGTAAATCTAAAGACATTTCCTTGCTCGTCGTAAAATTAATCATTTTCTACTCTAAATGTTGAAAAAAAGGAGCGTATTCTCTAAGAAGGGGAAATGAAACTATCCGACAAAGAAAAGTAAACGAGAAGGCAAAAAAGAACAGAAAAGAAAAGAGCGAGCATTTTGTGAAAAGAAAGACAACGCTGAAAATAAAAGAGTAAAACGGAAGAAACAGAGAAAAAGAGAACCGACGGAGGTTGGGTGGGAAAAAAAGTGAACCTTCTGGTAATGTTGATAGAGTCCGGGCAGAAGTTGATAAGCCCACGATGGTGCGACAACCTTGGCAAGCTGTTTGGGTGTAGCAGACGACGAGCCGCCCGGCAGCTCGTTTTTACCACTTGACTCCTGCTTGCCTTTCATGCCGCGCAGCAGTTCCTTCTGCATTATAGTATTCCACAGCAATTCAGTCCCACAAATACATTTATGCACAATATGTTTCTTTTTTTCTTGCATGCACTTTGATGCAAAGAGAAAAAAAAAAGAGAACGCAAAGCGGCCGTCGCCTATCTTTTGTTGCGTTGTCGCGCGATCAGCGTGCGTGCGTGCGTGCGTGCGTGCGCGTGCTATTTTTTTTACGATGGCCATCAGTGCGGAAAACTCGTCGGCAGTTGCAACTTTTACTCGCATTCGCACAGCCCAATTCGTTATTATTGATGTTTTAATGATATCCGGCAATTAGAGCGCTGGCAACGACGGTTGAATCGATCGATCGATCACCGTGCAAACGTTTTCTCAAGATTAGCGCAACGAGCTGTCGTGAATTCGTGGAAACGGATGCATTTTACAGACAATCAACGACACAAAGTCGGAGCACGGTAGCACGAGGTTGCATATAAGCAGCAGCAGCATCAGCAGCAGAACTATGTGCTCGATGGTTTCTTCTTGCAACTATCGCTGGCAAAGCTCAAAAATGACAAAGGCACAGCGTCCACTAAAGAGAGAGAGAGAGAGAGAGAGGGGGGGGGGAGTGAAAGCAAGTCGATCCGGTAGTTCGTGCCGTCGGTACGATAAGCAGCGTATCGGTGCAGCGGTGTTTGGAGGGTCGCGTTTCGCGAGATCGATATCACGTGCCAGCGTGTGCAGGGCTAATGGAAAGCGCGAGAGGGCGCCGAGTAGTCGTCCGGCGGGGGAAGGGCGGAGGGGTGTGCCCCCCTCGTGAAAATTGGCCGGGCGCGATCGATGGCGCGCTTGGCGTTTGTTCGGGGCGGCGGAGCGCGAGCGAGGCACAAGTGGCACATAAGCTCCGCGAGCTAGTCGCAGAGTCCGGAGCGCTCACCTTCTTGCTGAAGTCGGCGTAATAGTTGTAAGTCTTGAGGTAGGTGCCGAGGGACAGGACGTTGCAGCGCTCGCAGCTGTGCCGGCAGGTGCGCTCCATTAGCCGCAGCACGTGCAGAAAGTCCTCGGCCACGTAGTGGTCCTCCTCGAGGAACAGCACCATGCCCGTGTGATTGCGCGTCGCCGACAGCTGGTCGAACACGCGGTTGGCCTTCCACCACCAGTGGTGCTTGGTCTGCGTGAACTTGGCCTCGCGGTAGTGCCCGTACAGGTCCGGATGCTGGGCGTTGGTGCAGCCCAGGCTCAGAGCTCTGCGCCGACGACCAAGCCAAAACGCATTACTACTTCGGCCAGGCGAGATTGGCTCTTTCTCCGCGACCCGCGCCTCGATGCAACATCGAAGCGGCGTGCTTCGATCGACCGCATTTGCGTAATCCGCGGTGCGCAATGTTTGCTTTTTTTTTTCTCTTCTGCGGCTGCGTCTTACTCGAGCTCGCGGCTCTCAAGAGAGTAGGAATGACGGACTGTTCTAACAAGCTGACTCGCTATGTAAGAGCACGCAGCTCGCTTGTGACGAGCGATCGCAGCGCATAGCATCGCGTCGAGCTTGAGCGCCAGACGCAAGGTCGACCTCTCGAGATGCTGCCGATTTTTTCGAATTAGCAGAGTTTGCGATAGCGCGACAACGAGCCGCGACCGATCTGACGGCTAAAATGTTCCGGACGGTATTTAGACATTGGAGAACAATAGAATTAGTCCGTGCACCGTAAAATCGATAATTGGTCCTTGGCGCAGATGCGCTTACGAGGAACGAGTTTCCGGCAACGCTCGCGCAGGATGTACGCAGGCAGTGGCAGAGCCGTTGGAGATGCATCGATCGGCCGAAAGTCCGCCGAAACTCGCGGCAGACGCCAAGCTCCGCGACAGGGCGGTATACTCACTGTTCCTTGCGAATGTTCCTGGGGCAGTCGTTGGCGCTCTCGCCGGGGAAGGACCTGGGATGCGTCTGTATGCTGTACGGGTAGAATATCTGCATGACGCGGCAAAAGTCGACGTTTTGCACGAGGTAGTTGATGTCGGCGTTCCAGACGTCGTGGCTGAAGACGAGCAGCACCTGCTCGATGCCGCGCGCCTGCGCCAGCGAGATAATCAGGTGGCGCAGGTAGGTCAGTCGGTCGTGCACTTGGACGACGATGACGGGCGCGTCGCTGGCCAGCGGACCGAACGCCTCCTCGTTGTGCACGCGCTGCTCGGCGTTCGCGCGCTCGATCTGCCGCCGGATCTCGGCGATGTCGCGCTCGCTCAGCTCCTGCTGCGACGAGGTGCCGTTAGCCTGCGCGCCCAGTCCCGTGCCGTTGCCGCGACGCTCCTTCAGGAACCTAAACACAATAAGCGAGTCACCATCACCTTGCGCTCACTCACCTCCTTCACCCTCATCCTAACCAAACTCTCTTGTCCATTATCGAAATCCACGTGGATACATTTATCCATTGCAATGTCAGCTTCAATGCAAATTCGCCAAAAGTCAGCGTTTTCGCTTCTTCATTTCAATCGACCCGGTAAGTATTTTGTTCAATAAAAAGTATAAAACAATAAATAATGAATTCGATTCCTGTAGAAAGGTCCACGTATGCATGTGTCATTTTTAAGCGCCCAATAATAAGACTTTCTTCTATTCACTCAGGCTGCCATACATCAATATTTCGCAAGACATTTTCTGCTAGTTATCTTGCAAAAAGTTAACGAACTCTGATGAAAATATCGCTGTTTCGATTAAGCATTGCCGTCGAAACATTTCTGTCTGTAATCAGTTTCTTAGCTACGACGATAAAAAAAAAAAATAAAAACAAAACAAAAGAGGGAAAGAAAGGAAAAAAAGACCACAACAATTCGCGCTTATCGCAGCGGAAATAATTGGAAAATAAAACTAATGAATAAATCGCAGAGCCGAGCGCAACCGAGAAAAAGGAAAAAAAAAGATTGCGGCTGCGAGGCCTTGATACAAATAAACGCACCTGTCGTTACCGATCCACAACTTAATATTATTGCCGCGAGGCAGTTTATTACGTAAGGCTGCAGAGGAGAGGGGGGGGACTCGTTTCTTGCTCGCTCGCTCGCTCGCGGAACGAGAGAGAAAGAGCGCGGATCCGTACCTGTGCAGCTCCTGAGGCACGAGAGCGTAGAGGCTCTCGTTGACGACCGGCTGACTGGACCAGTCACGGCTCGTAAGGTTGATCACGTGCACTTGCAGCCAGAGGAACGTCGCCAGGAAGACGAACGCCAAGCTCCTCACCAGAAGACTCCGACTGGCCCGGCCTCCTCCGACCACTCCAACTGCCGGGCCTGTTTTGCACGCGCACACGCCTTGAGCGTTCAAGCCGCCGATCGCGCGCGCGCGTCTGCACTTTTCCGTGACTTTTGCTCGCGTCCAAGACTTTTGTCGCGGGCACCACGAGTGCGAGGGGTCGCTGTTCTCGCGACGGTCCCGTTTCGTCTTCGCATCGCCGTGCGTCTCGAGTGTGCAATGATTTTCGCCACCGTATTGCTCCCAACAACTTCGCCGCGGGGATCGACTCTCCCGGTAACGATCGGCTCAGGCGTCGCGCGCGATCCTATCCGTTTGATAACGCGCTTCGACTCGTGCGCTTCGCCCGATCGCCGTATATTATCGCTTCGTGTGCCGAAACATCGGTCGCCAGTCGGTGCTTCCGTTGCGCTCCGCGGCAAGAGTGCATTAGAGCCGACAATGAGCTCGGAATAATCGAGTTGTCGATGCGCGCAGATTGTCGTATACGCATCAATCTACGGAAGCTCGCTCGGACGAGAGATCAATGAACTCCGGCGCGGCCAACTCGAATTTCGTGCGGAACGACGCTAGAATTATATTATCAATTTTCGACGAACAAATTAATTGACGCCAGCCGATAAAACACCGTACGAGCGCCATTCGCCGTCGGCAAATAAAAGTATCATTTGGAAAGCATCGAGTGACGAGCGAGCTCCCGTATCATAAGCGTACACCGAGCCCCGCGGGGTCAATGCAGCCGCGTCGCGTCAGCGATATTTCTCTCTCTCTCTCTCTCTCTCTGCGCATGGCGTACGAGGCACGCGCACCGGCGATAAATCGCGTTGCGCGACAGCGCAAACAAAGTAGCTACAGTTTTTGCGCAAATACGCCCACGAAGCCAGATGCGCGCGCGCGCTCTCGTTGTATGATTCAGAAGCGCGCCTCGTTAAACATCAAAAGGCTAGAGAGCAGCGCGTACACGCCTTTGGTGATAGAAGCGCCCAGAGTGAGAAAGAAACATTCGGAGAGATCATGAGACGGCGGCTTGTCGACCAATGTGCGCGACCGTCTCGACGGTCCGACTCGCTAAATAATCTCGTTCCGTCCCTCTCTTTCGTCGAGTTTTCCATTGTCAACGCAAGCGCGGATGACTTTTTAATTCCACTCTTTTCGTTAGATCTCGCTAAATTCGACCGAGCACTCGTTCGTTTTGCTACGACTCATTTGACAAGTTATCTTGTTAGAACGAGTTCAAAATAGACTTTATCTAACAGCGGCTACTCGTTTGTGATGTTGGCCCAGAACTTTTCCAGATGCGCCGACGTATTATCGAGAAAATTACGTCGGTTGGAGAGATCTCGAACTCGAACGCTATCGAAACATAACGATTTCAACACCCTGTTAAATTAAAACGGCGTTCGATAATTGGTCGTCCCGACGATGCGTATGGAAAAGTTGGTGATTAGAGAGCTCGCACGGCGGGATGGCAGCAGTCGTGGTTAAAGAGAAAAAGAAAAAAGAAACGCCCTGACCACGCGACGTCGTTTGCAGAGACAAACGACACGCGACGCCCACGAACTCTGTGCACGCGCAGCTGACGCGAGAGGCGGAAAAAAAAAAAAATTCGTCTCGACCGAGTGGCGCTAATCACCGCGCCTGTTTCCAATCTATTTGCGTCTCTCTCTCTCTCGCGGATTTCCCGATGATTGCCCCGCGCGCTCCGCTCTTTTGCACGGATTATTTCGAGTCTGCTATTTGCACACTCCTTCGCCGACGGAAGTCGAAGCGCGGCTATGAAAAATGCAGACACGTTCCCCACTTTCGCAGGTTTTTTTGTTTTTTTTTTCTTTCGTTTTCTTCTTCTTACCTCTCATGCTGACCTTCCTAACTGGCGCTCCTGAAACACACGCACATGCACGAGTACAAAAGGAGCTCTGACAATGGGCTTTTGTTGGCGGATCAATTAGAGAACCGAGAATGAAGACTTCTTCTGCGACCGAACGCTAATTAGAAGCCCTCCGCATCATCAGCCGGGCTTCCTTTTTTTGTTCGTTCTCTCTCTCTCTCTCTCTCTCTCTCTCTCTCTCTCTCTCTTACGCGGCACGCGCCATTTACATATGAGAATGCACGGCTCGCGGTATGCCTTTTCTGCTCGTTCCAATTGGCTTTGCCTCGGCTCCGTTTCACTATCGCCGGTATTTCACCAAATTCGATAACGCGCTGCTTAATGGCCGTTTCGATAATTGCTATCGTCTCGCCGACGAAAATAGCGCGTCGTCGCCGCGAGCGCAAGAGCGCGCTCCGTTCGTGGGCTCACCTCAGAATGATTTTGTGCACCGGGCGATCCTCCATTATCCATCCAACCTGCAAGAAAAAAGAAAAATCAAGCGTTTGAAATTAAATCCGTAGCCGTTATTGCCGCGAGTTCGCGCGCGCGAGCCCGCGGATTTCATTCGCGCGTCGAGATTTTTTACCCGGCCCTCTTGTTTCGCGTCTATTCTTCGCTATTTTCGGCGGACGTCGCGAAACATTCGGGCGTTGTAGACAAGGGCTTTACGTAATATCCCCGGAGAGAGAGAAATTTCGGACGAGAAACTGGATCGAAGTTCTTACGACGCGGCGAGGACGCTGCAACCTTGCGCCCGCGGACGGCTTAAGTGGCATTGTAAGCTTGCCAAAACAAAATTTTTCTGCCAAAAGATCGTTCGCGCGCGCGGCGCATAGGGAAGCGAAAGAGCGAGGTCGAGGGTATCTTCGTGGCTGCGATCGACGAAAGCGAAGCGCCGTTGCGACGCCTCCCAACGGAGGTCCGCCGCGGCCGTTAAGCTTTCGCGTGTGGAAAACCTATTGTAGCCCGTAACTGGATTAAAGTCGCTTTGATTATTACGAAATGAGAGTGCGGCGGAGGCGGAGGCTTGGGCTCGCTCGCGCGGCACGACGCGCTAATAAAATTAAGGGCGTGTATGTGTAACGTGAGGAGGGGTTAACGCTCCGCTGCCATCTCTCTCTCTCTCTCTCTCTCTCTGCCTCGTTGTTCCGAGCTTACATGCAGTTTGATGAGTTCTCTCTCTCTCTCTCTCTCTCTCTCTCTCTCTCTCTCTCTCTCTCTCTCTCTCTCTCTGTCTCGGCGTAGTAGAGGTACGACCGTGCCGCGGGCAGCACGAAACTTGCCCCAGCGATGTGCCGCCATTTTTTTCATCGACTTGACGATAATCTAATAGTCGCGTAGTCTGGTATACTAAGCTCTATTAATTTATGTCCTGGATCTCTATCTACCTGGTTTTTGGAGTATACTGCGTGCTAGATCTATCGTTCTGTTTTTTAAATTCATCACGCGGGGAAAAGCGAATGTGTCGAATTGCCCTCTCGTAACCGTCATGTTATTGCTGAGCTTGGAGCCAGCGGACGGACGTACCAAGGTCTACATCTGTCGAGCTTTCATCGGGATTTCACTTGCAATCAATACAATGCTGTCCGATGCGTTTCGCACGCAACTCCAAGACCGAGCGCGTACAAAGCTTCAAAAGCGCGACGAGTCTCGCGTTATTCAACTCACAAATGCATCTGCGCTAATCAAGCGTCCGACGAGCTGTCGGTATTCATCGCGTTCATCGTTCTGTTAAAGCTGCGACAATGGGCATCGATCGCAGTCTATGGCACGCGTCCTATATAACAGTAGAATACGTAATAAACGTTCCGAAATGCGAAGAATCGACGCGAAGCCGGCCAGCGTAATTGTTTCCGTGAAAACAAGCGGCGTCGCGTGGCCTACGCGCGGCACTCCGAACCGCGAGCGCGCACTATGGACTCGTTCGAGCATAAAGAGCTCACCAAACACTGCGATGGCAATATCAAGATATGCGGTACGCGCGCGCGCAGCCCGGACCAACCCGGCGGAATGCGCGGACGTCGTTTCGGTGCCGCGTGCGATCGGAAAAAAAAAAATAAATAAAAAAGAAAAGCCCGTCGCGCGGACGAAGACGCGATCCCTCGTCGTTTCACAGAGACGCGCCCGATAATTGCACGTCAAGCGCACAGCGGCGTACGAACGCGAGTACGAAAAATAAATAAATGAAATGAAAAGCACGGAAGCCAATTGCGAAATGCGCGACGCAAGAGCCCAAGCGCTCGCCCGTTAAATTCCGAGCGAACGTCGATTTATCAACGAAAAGAGCTGCTTCCGTCATTTTTTTACTCCCCGATTAAAAAAAGAATTAAAAAAAATTCGCAGAGTGCAGTCATCTCTACAGGGCATCGTGGCAATTGAACGATTTTTCTTTTCTATCCAGGTTTGTTCATTCGAAAACGCTTTCCACGGGTCGACGGACTTTCCGACTTCGGTTTCTCTGTTAGTTGGATCGTTTCGTCTTATTTAACGCGCAGAGCGCAGTGGAGTATTATGGGCGGTGCGCGCCAAGTCAAGTTTGTAGGCGTCAGTTGTTCGGTGCATTACCAGGCGCCAGAATTGAGCCGCTTATTATTCAAATTTCACTCGGTGGAATTGTTTGTCAACGCGACTTGCGTCAGTTTTCACAGACGCTGCGTAGTCGGGTGCTTATTATTCGAAACACGTTCGTCTAGTCAAAACCGCGTGCAATGTTCTTACGTACGTCGTTATAATCAACACAGCAATCGCTCTGCCGTTTCCACAGTTCGAAGTTTGTCCATCATTGAATTTCAATGCCATCCCGACAATGGCCATTCGCGAAACATTTCGATCGGTTTACTCCTGATTTGGTCAACATGTTTGGCCAGTCAACGTATAGAGCTCGATCAACGTAGCAAATGCCGCACGGCGTCAACCACAAAGCTGAAGCACGTGGGCGTAAGACGAAACAAAGCTAAAGCTGCCGTCAGCCCCCACGTGGCATTTGATAAGCGTTTGCAATCGTCCGTCATCCGGGCAAAGAAGAGGCAGAGCGTTGGGCGCGTCTCATTTGCTCCGCTCCCTCGGCCAGCCGATCGTTAATTATCAACGCGGCGGTGGCGCTTGCCGAGGCCTAATTTGCTTGGCTGGCGTCCCAAGGACGGCCGAAGTCTTCCCTCTCTTTCCGCATCTGCGCGCTCGCCCACGCGGGTTCTCCTCTATTTTCGCTCGCGCGCCCGCGCGACAACTGGACTCCGTCTATTTTACGACGACGCCATCGAGCCCCATTGATTCCTCGCGCGCGCGCGCAACGGTCGATCGCGACGAATTGACGCGTCGGCGTGACCCTGCACCGCGACAGCCAACTGCGAGAGCCAACGACCGTTTGCCCACGCGCTCGCGAACAATCCGAGCGATTTAATTAACAGGCACTGGCCGGCCGAGTGGAAATAGCGCGCGAGCTGTCGATCGATAACAAGGCCGAGAGGGAAGAGTTTACGAATAGATAATGATGCGCGCCCGATGGGAATTGCAACGTGCGCGAATGGGATTCCGCCGCCAGGACGCGACGTGCTGCGGATCGCTATCTCGGGATGTCGCTCGTGGGAATGTTGCGCGCAACGGACGTATCGCGCCTCGGCTCTCTTCCGCGCTCGCGGCTTCTCCGTCGACGCTCGCGATGGCTCGGCGATACTCTTTCCGACGGATCTGCAGCGTCGCAAGCCCCTTGTTGTTCCGTGTCTCGCCTGGTCCATCCATTGGCGCGTATCGCCGAGTGGCAAATCTCGTCGGACGAAGAACGCGCCTCTCGATTCGTCGTCGTCGACGAGGATCGTCGTTTGCAAACGGCCGCTCGCGAATCCGAATTATCTCCAACCGCGTCGGGACCGACGATCGAGCCCTCGACTCCTATGAAAATACCCGCAGATGGTCCGCGAGCGCAGTTAGCGATTTCCAATCGACTCGACGGTGACAGCGAGCGAAGCCATCGGTTTTCCACGACGTCTCGGAGGATGAGGAGCGGCCCTATGGCGGAAAGAGCGCCGCGGTCACGCGGAAAATCAGCTGCCGCCGCGGCGATAACGGCTCGCGCGGTCAATCTTGTCCAATCAAGCGAAATAGCGTCGGAGAGCTCGCACACGTATGCTTCGCTCTCCGACGTGCGCGACGTCGAAAATAGCGCTCGCTCCCTTTCGCGCGGCTCTTTGCGCGCTCCACTTTTTATCTCGCTCTCTTTCGGCGCGGTTTGTCAATAGATCGGCGCTCCCACCCGAGCCGATACTCCGCTAAACACCCGGTCGCGCGTATTCGGCCGCTACTCCTCCGGGCCTTCTCTTCGCGCGCGCCGCCGCCGCCGTCACCGCCGTCGCCGCCCGAAACCTCTTATCGCGCGTTTAAATTAGGATCGCGCGCGCCAAATCGTCGCGACGCGTGCTGCTCGAGTTCAACAGCCCCGAGACGACCTCGTCTCGTCCCGCCAGAAAGAGGCGAAGGCAGACGATAACGGCGAAGGGGGAACGGAAAAAAGCAACACTAACGCGCGAGAAAGCGCGGAGGCGGTGCGATAGTTGCATACACGAGTTCGCGGGAGCATCGCGCTCTATCGCGAGCGTCCCCTCCGAGCGCGCGCGAGCTTCCTGTGTGTGCGCGTCGCCAGCCGCCTCCGCTCTTATCGCGCCGCCTCGCTCTCGTCCGGCTGCACCGATTTTTCGGCGTCGTCGTCGTCGCTGCACCCGCTGCACCCGTCGCCGAAAGCGCTCGCGTCCTCTCGGTCGGCGCTTCGCCGAGGACTGGTCCGTTAGATAGGCTCGCTTGTATATCCGGATATCTCTGGCGACGCGCTGCCACTCGCGGATCTCGACTGGGCGTTTGAATTTCGTCGTTCGCGCGAAAAACTGAGAGTACAGTGATAATTACTTGAAAATGGCATATAGGAAGAGGGAGAAGCGATTTAAAAGAAACAAAACTGAGAAAAAGAAAACGAACGGACGCTTGGATGACGAACGGCAATTTGACGACAATGAGTTATGACGTTCGATACCCGAAATTTAATCTGCAGTTTCATGAAAAAGTGCACGAGCTCTTGAAAAATTGAATGCGTGGTTCAACGATTACATGGCGTACCTAAGTTATACACGCTTTAAATACTGACAAGCGGAACTGCTAGAGCAACAATTTCTCATGACACGAGAGTGAGAGAGAGAGAGAGAGAGAGAGAGAGAGAGAGAGAGAGAGAGAGAGAGAGTGCGGCAGGTGGGCCGTTGAGAATTGGAACTGAATCTCATTCGACTCTCGATGAATATCGAGTTCCAGCGTTCAATGCCAAGCAAGCAGCGACTTACTGGCAACCTTCGATAAAAAAACAGCCAGAAGAACGTTAGTCCTGGGTATTTACCGCAAAGAATAAGAAGAAGTTCGTTTCATCGCCTTGACTCACTTGCGCACTACGAGCACATCGCGCGTTCGCACGGTCCAAGTGGACGACAGCGCGCGTGGC